TAGCCTATGAGGTGGAGACCCATGTAAATTAGCCTATAAGTGATCTCGGAAGTATTACGGTTCTTCTGAGTGAGCAGTGAAACCCAGAGTGCCGTATGTAGTAACGCGCTACATTTACATCCGTTACGTTTACTTGAGTAACTTTAGGATAAATTGTAAACTTTCTAAGAGTAGTTTAACTGCAACATACCTTTTACTTTTACTTGAGTATATTTGTGAAGAAGAAGTGCTACTTTTGACTGCGTTTCACCAATCAATGCAGTCACTGGTGACGTTTGACTCCGTTTGACCAATCAAACAGAGCCAGGTGGTCACATGACTAACTGCACACGAACTTTCAGCGGCAAACACCGGCAAGCAAAAAGGCAGAACACAATGGCAACAACAGCGCGCTTCGCGACAATTATTTTAATGTATTATTATGGTGCCACGGGTGCTCAGCTCTGGGGCACTCCTCTACAGCTAGAATAGCTGAGAGGAGGTGCCTCACATCTATTAATATTCTCTTTCGGGTTTATTATTCTTCCACCAAATCTGCGCGTAACTCGTCCCGCAGCTTTGAGAAAACCCCGAAACCCCAAGTAATATATACATCAAAACGTGCATCTTGATCCCGAAAGAGGTGCTATGACTTTTGGTGTTAAAATTCCAATTTTCCCCAAAGTTATTCCCAAAAAAACTGGGAATAAATAATGCATTAGGAATGCATTGGAATTTTCTTTAGAAACCCACAAAATTCACCTTTTTCTACAAAATCTTCACCTTTTTTCTGAGTCACCCAGCTCTCTCATACCTGATGTAGAAATGTGTATTCAAACTATAAAACGGAGGAAAACTTCTGCTCTCCTCAAAAAACACAGGAACTGTTTTTACATAACATGTAAACTGTTCAAACTATGAGCACTCAAAGGAGGAGTGCAAATCACTTTTTCTTCAAAAGTTAGAGTGACAGCGTCAGTGGCTAGAGTGCGTGAAGCAGTAAAAACCTTTATTTTATTTTTAACTCGAGCTCACGGCCAAACCGCTAAAAAAGAGACAAATAATTATTTCTGAAAATGTAGACATAGTTGTTGGGATTCATAAAATGTAACTTTGACAGGCAGGGTCTGCACAAAATTTAAACGGGGGTGCCGAGTCCGGCAGCAATACCTGTCTCACTCTCATTGACACCTAATGTAATCGTCTTTTTTTTTCAAAAGAATCTCACTCTGTCTTCGCACTGAGCTTACTCACTCATTTTCTCAAATTCTGGGCAGATTTTCACATTGCCAAGGCAATGGCAGCTCCTGACCTGTGTGCGTGCGTGCGCCTAGCAACCAGATAACCCACTCTCCAAGCTCCGCTAGCTTTACATTATCCACATGTTAGGTCTTAAATTACATTTAGTTAGGTCTTAAATATGTAAGTCCATTTACTGCTTCCTTTGTTGCTTCTCTTTTTGTTTTGTTAAATGAGTGAATGAAGTTGTGACGGTCCCCGCATAGACAGAGGAGAGGAGAAGCTACTAGCCCTCTCTCGCTGTCACTTCTAGTCGCGTTGCTCTCCTCCCCAATAATGTTAAATTTAGCACCGAAAAAAACATAATAGTGGTAATTTAAATAGCGGTTCATGGGATTTATTAACCCTCAGGGGTCCCTCTGTCCTTTTTTGGACATTTTCTTCACTTTTCTTTTTTGATTAGCTGATCATTTTGGCTGTGTTACAGCTGAAGGTATGGATTTCTGCAAGAAAGTGTCTTTTTTGACATATTTTTAAAATCTAATGTCAGTTACTGTTACAGGTCTATTATACACTGGTAACACATTTTGTACCCTCTGGGGTTCCTCGCGTCCAAAAAAGGACACCCAAAGAAAATGCTATAAAATCATCACATATCAATATGATGCTTTTTTTGCATACATCTCTTAAACCACTTCAGTTCTGCTCAAACCTACCAAATGTTTATTAGTTTTCAGGATTTTAACCCTTTAAATGCCAGTTTGAAGACATGTTGCCTCTTGTTTTATTAAAAAAAACAACACAGAATATGAGATATTTCCCACATAATACATGATGGAGGGACGTGACATTGTTTTATATGAGAGTCTTTTATATCAAGACATTTCTCAAAACCAGAATATGATCAGGGTGACTTTTGAACACTGGAAATAAATCATGTACTCATCCCGGCAGTAGCCCCCATGGCACTCAAAATTTCCCTGGAATTTTCTGGTTGTAATTATTAGTGTTCAGTTTTAATTATTTTGGCACATTCTTTGCATTTACTTTGTTGATATAATATGTTGTAATTTGAACCATTTACTGATATTATGAATAGTTTTGTGTTCTTATTAATTTGGTTAAGATGTATTAAAATGATCTACATTTACAAATATGGTCCTTATTGTTAAAAAGGTTAATAACCCTAAAAATGACCAAAGGAGCACCGCATAATTGTAATGTGAACTGAAATAATCACTTTTATTAGATTTTTTTAAGTAATTGAAGGGGATTAAATAAATAGCAAGTACAGCTTGAGCTTCCATACAAGCAATCCTACAATAACAAAATTCTGCCCCTGTTGCCTAAACAGGGTTTGTTTTGTTATTACTACAAACTAAAAATGTGGTAACTTGTACTGAGAGGTTGGCAACCTATAAATGGTTCATAAACATAACATTATATAAAAATGCAACCAGAAATAAACAGCGGTTTTAAAAACAAATTGACAGAATTTCTCGACTCTCTTCGTCCTTTTTTAACCGCTTCTTTTCATTCTCTCTCCTATTTCTGCTTTTTTAACGTACTAATTTGTGGGTGTGTGTTTATTCCTCAGTTTGGTATCAGCAGCAACACCCTGCACACAGAACAATAGCAGTCAGGTAGGGCAGAGGCTAAACTTGAGTGGCAGGTAGTTGAGAGGTTTTACAGCCTTTCTTATATTCATGGGTGAATAGGTGTAAAATGAATTGACCAACATGCCAATACACAACAAAAGAAAAAAGATGAGATCCAAGTTCTTCATCGTTAACTCATGGGAATGTTATTGTTTGGTAATCTGTCATTTTTTGCTAACAGTACTGTGGTATTTCTCCACTGCACTCACCAAACATCTCCTGTTTAACCCATGGCTGTCTCTGAATAGTAAATTCTTTTTCAAAATAATGCAATACATTTACAAACAAAGAACATATGCTTTAATATATATGTCAGAGAAATGCTTGCAGTCAGACAGTATTTTGATTTTTTAAGTATTTAAAGCCAGACAAAGTAACTGAAACAAAGAAACATGCTTTAGTACATGGTATTTAGCCCTCACACATATCCTATCTTGTGTCAGTTCTCCAAAGAGTAATGCCCCTTAAAATATCAGAATGGTTGCACCATAATATTGCAAAGCAGTTTTGATGTACTACTTCCTTGTAGGTCACACCAGAAAGGCAAATATAAAATTTCTCATACATAGGCTGAGCCAGCGTTGTAAAGTTTTATGCCAGTTGATTAATAAAACAGACATTTGTATATATGAAAATGTTGCATCTTGTTGCTTCAAACATTTTTCACAGACTTTAAGAGAAGCCCACTGATGAGATCACATTTGGGCAGATTTTTCTATAGTTTTATTCACAATTGCTTGTGATGAAAGTGTTTGTGAATGTTTATTGCAAATACCATCCTCTGTCACTATACCACAACCTAAAGGGCTTCTAGTAAAGCATATTTTACCAGTACTGACAAATACAATCTGTATATGCTATAGATAGTATGTTTATCATTTGTTTTCATATACATAAACATAGTTCTTACATAAAAACATAGTCACTATTATGTAAAGGGAAGTCAGTAGCTTATGAAAGTACATACACTTACTTATGTATACTTTAGATATACAATACATGTTTAATACATACAATATTTAGAATATTTATATGCTTACATGGGCTACTTACTTTGCTTCACATACAACAATTTGTTAAAGATACTGTATGTTTGTATATTTGTTGTCCATTTGTTTTCATAGCAGTTGATAAGTAAAGTAGGCTAAGTAGCATAATGATGTGTCCAAGTTCAGCTGTTTAAATTAAACATGCTTGGCGGTAAAGTTGTTTTAAAAGAAAGAAAGATACAAAGAAAGATAGAAAGAAAGAAAGAAAGAAAGAAAAGTAAAAGGCAAGTACTTTTAGTGAGGAGGAAAATAATGGATGAATAGAAAGGGATAAACAAGTAATGGTAAATCAAGAATTTGTCAAAAAAAAAGTCACAATATAAAAAAGGTAAAAAAAAGTCATGGCATAGTCATGTCAGGCTACCTGACACATAACAGAACATGACTCACTAACTCATATTGTTGCGTAATTACCTAAAAATACTGACTCAGTATCTCATAATCTTTACTTACTTTACTCTGTAGTATCAATATGAGGGTAATGTAACATATTTTTTTTTTTTGTTTTGTTTTGTTTCATCTTTTCTTTGGCAGTATCGGACTTCTACACCTACTTCGTCTCCCCAAAATCGCCTCGCTTGACAACCCGGTCCCCGGTTTCGGGGACCGGTCTGTCAATAGGGTCTGACTCAACTGGCCTGACCGGTAGGCCGGGCTGTCAGAGTGTGAAGGGGCGGGACAGGTGAGGAGAGACTACAAGAGAGAAAGGATGGGCGTCTTCTCCTCAGCGTGGGTGTTTCACCATGTGGAGTGTAGACACTGTGGAAGTTTGTTTTTAGTTTGTTATTGTTGTTCATTATTTTTCGCTGTTTTATGTCGCGTTGGAATAATCCTCAGTCGTTTCCGGGTTGTTTTAGCTAACGTTTTAAAAGTGGACTGCGCGAGACACTTTAACGGTTTTTTAAAAAGAAGTGCGGCGTTGTCATCCATCTAGAACAAGTTGTTCGGCTCAGTTTTTGGAAGTTTTGTGTTGTCAACCTAAAAGGGATTGTAGTCTTGTTTTTTTTGTTTAGTTTTTTTTTTTTACGTTTTTTTTTTTGTTTTTTTTTTTGTTTGTTTTTTTTAAAGCCTAATTTGTCTATCAGCTTTGGCTTGTCGCCATGGAGGAATACGACTGTCACTCAACAACACACGACTATCCACATCCGTTTATCCACGGGGTGAAGCTGACCCGAGCGCAGAGGATCAGGGTAACGGTCAAACCGAAGTCTCCATATTTGACTTTTTTTTTCTTCTTTTTTTTTTTTTTTAAATAATGGAGAGAAGCCACTAAGCTCTAGCTCTAAGCTAAGTACTCTTCAAGGGCTTAACTCATCTCCCAACATATGACACCTGAAACTAATGAGGCAGTAATTTGACTGGCAGGAGTCAAGTTTGTCCTTGAAACAGATCCTTCACTTCTGAACACGAACTGACAATGTGCTTGATTTTAATGCCAGCAGTCAGTGTGATAAGGGTGCTCTGTAGAACTGCAACGGTTAGATAAGCCCATTAATCAATTAGTCCATCCACAGAAAACTAATCGTCCATTCATTTCTTAAGGAAAAATGCAAATTATTTACTGTTTCCAGCTTCTCTAATGTGAGAGTTTGGTGCCTCTCTCTCTTTTTATGTCTACATAAACTGAATATATTTGGGTTTTGGACGGTTGAGCTAAAAAAAAAAAGACGCTGCAGGACTTCACCTTTGGATGCTTTAAATTATATCAGGCATTTTCCCTTATTTTCTGACATTTTATAGACAAAAAGATGATTTGAGAACATAATCAGCACATCAATCAAAAGAAAATATCTATGAGTTGTAACCATAGTTCTATATTTATATTGTTGTTGCTTTGGACTCTTGGTTGGACAAAATGAGACACTTCATGACATCTTCTTGGGATCTGAATTTGCATTTTAAACTGTTTTCTGATGTTATGTAGAACAAACCATAAAGCAATTGATCAGTTAAGTAATAAGCATATTAATTGATAATGCAAATATACATTAATTGTATCTTTCACAGTGCTTTCTGACTATGATGCCTGAGCAAAACAGACGGGTTATAAATGTTAAAGGTTATAAATAACATAGACATGGCATGACCGATGATAACCCATACCACAGTGTTGCATAACTCTTGACAGACATGTCAAGAGGGCTGGGTAACCCAACCCTATGATGATGTTAATTATAATATTTTTGCCACACGTGTTTACATCAAGATGTGGCAACTATATGCAAAATGAAGCCATCCAAACTGGTAAACTGGTGTTCAATGCAGTAAACTGTGTTCCACTGTTAAATATTACACCTGACAGAGCTCTTGACACATGCAAAACAAGAACATTTCATAACATTCAGAAGTCAGACTGATTCCCTGCACATCAGAATTCACCATAAATCCTTAATGCAGGGACGGGGGATTAGAAAGTGTAGTTTCATAATGGTGTGTGAGGGTTTCATTACCTGCCATGTCAGTGACTGTACTTTGTGTTTATCCTCAGGGCATTATCTTGGGCAGTATCCTCTTCCCTCTACGCATCACACTGGCGGCCCTTTTCTTTCTCATCATTTGGCCTCTTGCCCGGCTACGACTGGCCGGCCTGTCTGAGGAGGACCGCTCTCGGCCCGTCACAGGCTGGCGACACTGGCTCTTCCATCCCATCGTCTGGCTGCTGAGCCGAGCCGTCTTCTTCTCCCTGGGCTTTCTGTGGGTAAAGGTGAAAGGTCGCAGGGCAGATCTGAAGGAGGCGCCAGTGCTGGTTGTGGCGCCCCACAGCGGCTTTCTGGACATGCTGGTTCTGTGTCCATCCCAGCTGGCAACGGTGGTGTCGCGGTCGGAGAACACCAGCCTGCCGGTCATAGGAGGTGAGGAGCTGTGATTCAGTTGCACCATTTTATCGAATTGCAGATGGATAATCTGATTTGCGCTTGACAGAAAATTAATTGGCAACAGTTTTGATTGGTTCATTGTTTATGTATCAAGCAGAAATGCAAAAAACTGGCTTGTTCCACCTTATTTATGCTGCTCTTCTTCTGCACCTGAACCTTTCTGAAGTTTGATGTAATCTTAATATTGACATAAAATGTTTGGGTGACATTTTTAGACATTCACAACAACATAAAACCAGTGAAAGTTTTGCAAACAGGCTGCATGAGCTGAAATATTGAAACTGTGCCGAGTTTCATCTTTCTGCCAATCACATTGGGCCGACAGGGAAAGGCAAAAATTTTATTCACTCTGCCACAGACATAGTTGTGCTAGCTCCAGTCAGGCAGGATTTGTTTCGTTGTTTATGTCACGTTTAACTGTGCAAGTGCCTGGATGACATAATCTTTTCACCAATATATTTTTGGTCCCTTTTAAACTTTTTTCCTTATTGTGCTTCACAGTACAGTGTAGTCATAGATGGGGAATCTCACCCCAAGTTGTTCACCTACTAGGCAAGAAACCAAGATTAATATTTGGAATAGAGGAGTAAAGAGGACAGTAAAAGTATTCAAGGAAGTCCAAAGATAAACAAGTGACTCAGTCTTTTGGCTTCTAATCTGCTCTGTCTGCTCTGGTACTTCCTGTCTTGCTTTCTTGGCAAACTTGCTCTGGACTCCTTCCTTGGTTCTGGTTTTAATTTTGTTCTTGTGTGACTATTTATTTATTTATTTCAATTGCGTTTCAGCTTTGCTTGAGTTCAACCAGTCTGTGCTAGTAAGCAGGAAGGATCCAGAGTCAAGGAAAAAGGCAGTCACCCAGGTCACAGAGAGGCTGACCTCCAATGGCTACTGGCCTCAGGTAAGACCTTTGTTTGGTCACTCAAACAAATGCAGATTATCTTTTGTCAACGCAAGTCTACAGGGCTTTAAGTAAAACGACAGAGATGATCTTTCTTCTTGGCTGTAGTCTTGTTTACATATCTGGCAAATACTACCAAATTATTCAATCACACTTTTCAACAATTACAGTGGGGTAATGCCGGAAGTCACACAGTGCAAAGCTCATAGAAACTTAAGTTTTTAGTGAAAAATTAAGAAAATAGACTGTATATGTAACTGTCTAGTTTTTTACTGCCTGTGATGGTTTTGTAAATCTGTGGCTTTGGCACAAGCAAACAGCTGCTCAGTATTAGATAAAGTCTTTGGGATAGGAACATGACCTGCTAGATAGAAGAAAAGCGGAACAACACACTTTACACCCTCAAGGGAATCCATTTCTTAATGCATCCTTAATTACAGTTCAGAAATAGCTAAAGTTACTTCAGGCCAGTCCTTATGCACATTTTAGTAAGGAAGAACAGAAGGTGCAGTGTTAAGTCAAATTTGAAACCAGTCTGTCTGAACATAACCACAGAGGCCAGAATGGCCCAAAGATACATCGTCTGTGGAAAGATGTTTCTTTTTTCAGGCTGTAAATGTTGTCAAAAGGCTTGTAAATTCACCTGCTGGAAGTGCAAAGAGCGGGGGTTACCACCGCAGGTCTAAACTCATAAGTCATATTTCTTAATTCTTGGCTAGATGCTGATGTTTCCAGAGGGAACCACGACTAACGGCCGTGCTCTTATCAAATTCAAGCCTGGTGAGTACCGGCAGTCTGAAATCGACACATGAAAACAAAAAAGAGATTGAGAAGAACTGAGGTTTTTATAGCCTGTTTACTACCAGGTACCTTTCTACATCCGTCCTGTGCTTGTGAATCAGTATGTATGAATGAATGAGTGTAAACAACATGAAGAGAAACCAATCCCATCTGGTTTTTCTTGATGTCTGACACGGACAACATACTACAGTTGTTTGTACAGATTATGCAGGAATGAGTCGTGTGAGAGAGAAAAGGCGTAGCAGGTGATTGTTTTGCTGCTGGATGGTTAACTCCTCTTCTGCACCTTTTACTTCTGTCTAATTCCACTATGTCTCATTTTTTCCATGTCACTCATCATCAGGTGCCTTCCTTGCCGGAGTCCCAGTCCAGCCTGTTCTGTTGCGTTACCCCAACAAGATGGTGAGTGAACTTATTAGGGGGTGGCAGGTTGATCTGCTGGTTTGAAACAACATTCAATAACCGAGAAACATGACAGGTTTGATTGCTTCAGCTGCCAGTTGTCCTGTGAAGGTTTATTAGAGAAGATAAAATTGGGTCAACTCAACACTTTACTTCCAAGATGTTTTTGTCCAGGGAGACTGAGACTTTAAATTTAAGTTAATTCTTCCTCAGAGTCAGAAGACACTTAACTCAACTCTAGCTAGGTCTCTTTAAATGTGATTTTGCAAACAAACCTCTGCCCTGGGATTCAATATCCAGAACAATATATTAAGCATATTCTGTATGTTTTGAGAACACATGAGTCGAGTCAAGTCAAATTCATTAATAGAGCATATTTAAAAGAAAATTTAAAATGCAAGTAAAACAAAAAAAATAACTAACATATAAAATTTAAAACATTTTTGTTGTTATATAAATAATGAAGGGGATTTAATTATTAAGAAAGGGAAGGAATTCCCAAGTAAAGCAAGGCACATTAAGGCTTCATTAACTTAAAAAACCCTTTCTTTAAGTGACATAATCTCAAAAGAAGGGCCAGACCACAAGTTCACTTTGCGTTTGTAAACACAGTAATCAGATTTAATTAAGGCGTGCAGCACTGTGCACAAAAGCCCCATGTAAGTACAAGTTGTTAGAGATATATTTAAAACAAACGTTAACAGCAGAAACTGTCATGCTGCATTGGTAACATAACTCTGCACACACAAGATGCTTTGTACTGTTTTGACAACTCTGTCTCATTTTTATCTGTTATGTCTACCTTGTCACTTCGTGACCAAATATGAGTGTATACACTACACTCTCCTACATATTATCAGACAGTCGTTATGTTCCTGAACATGCAGTAACACTTGTCCAGGCCAGTGTTTTGTACACTGGTTCCTGTCAGGGTGTGTTATGAGGGGAATGTGTCTAGAATTACACATGCTATGAAAAAAAGCCTGTCTGTTGCTAAGGATGGTTCTTTTTGTTTGTTCTAGTACCTTGTTGTATTGTGTCCTGTTTGATTAGTCCTTTTATGACCCTCAGGATACTGTACGCTGGACATACAAAGGAACAACCTGGTGAGTTCCTCCATTTTTCTTTCTCCATATCTGTCAAAGCAAGTTAATGTAAAGGGGTTTGGCTCATCGTTTGTCATTTCTGGCTGCATAGAAGTCGAGGCACAAGTACAGGATTTCTACATAGGCAGGAAGTTGAGTAAACTTGGAACCTCAAGGACGCTGAACTTTTTAGACTTCAGCAGTGTTTTCAACAATTTTACTCCCATTACCAGTGGATGTCATAGTAACTAAACCTGTGCACATTTTATGAAGAACACTGCTTTTACATTTCCTGCTTGTCATAATATAAATTTAATCCACATTACCCGCCCCAAACTTTGGCCAAATTCAGCGATTTGCTGTCAAGTAATCATTTTAGTCAGGTAAGGAAAAGAACACATACATTGAATTGGCTGCTGTTGATATAATTTTTTTTCTACTTGAAATATAATATTGACTCTTTGTCCATTAGGCTTGAGGCACTGTGGCACACAGCTTCACAGTTTTACACCAACATGACTGTTGAGGTAAGACTCCTTCACCTCACAAACACGTACAGTAACAGGTGCAGCAAAGCACACCACTGATCACATTCATCAGTAATGTCAGGTGTGGTCAAACACGACATTTTCAAACAGGAGAAGGTATTTTTCAGCTTGATGTGAAGTTACTCTTTGAAAGTTTGAGTGTATGAAAAATATAAATGCCTCTTTGTTTTGCTCAAACTTGCAACTTCACACTGTCCCACCTTCCCCTGTTACCGTGACTAAACATGAGAGAGAACAATGGTTGCCTTATTTTTATTGTTCTACAGTTCCTGCCAGTTTACAACCCATCCCAGGAGGAGAAGAATGATCCCAACCTGTATGCAGACAATGTTCAGAAACTCATGGCCAAGTAAGTAGTGCAGAGGTGAATTTTCAGGGCTACGTCTCATTTCAAAGGAACTGATCTGTCCACAGTAACGGGACTACAGGGTTGAAGGTGTCTGTGAATCAGCTTTTTATAATGCGTTTTTCTGCTGTGCTTCAGGGCCCTTGGCATCCCAGCTACAGACTATGTGATGGAGGGTGGAGTTCCTGTTAGTAAACTGGGTGGTCTCTCTCTTCCACTGGAGTCCCCTGCCAGAAAAACGCTCTCACTGCTGCTGAAAAACGGGTGAGAGAGGACCCTCATTGATGTTCGGTCTCGGCCGAAAATGTTTTATGGCTTTAATAAAAAAGTCAAATTGCCTTTTTTATTATAATTTTCCTCCCTTTCTTCTCTCTCTCAGCCTGGAGGCATCTGAAGTGGAAGCAGCACTGGACCGGATGATTGACAGGTGTCAGTCTGGAGCTCAGGCGTCAAAGGCCAGTGCAGAGGAGCTTGCCTCTGTTCTCGGACTGACAGATAGAGAGACAGCAGTCACTGTCTGTGACCTCTACTCCAAGGTAGAAGCAGTTTTCTTTTGTGTGTGTGTGTGTGTGTGTCTAACAAGATTAACTGCTTGCACAACATCCAAGAGGGCATTTTTCACTGGTGTCGTTTCCACCTGTGTATTTATAGGTAACAGGTGCAGCAGAGAACTAAATGTCCTCTGTTTTATGGCTTTAATACAGCTGCTGGGAGAGTTCACACTGTGAGATGTTAGCAGTAAATATATGAGGCAGATGTTTGTTTTTCACCACAGGTTTTGACAACTATGGTCAAATCTGGTGAATTTAACATTTAAAATATTGAGTACTGTTTCTAGAGCTTTACCCGTTGATTGATCCATTCGTTTTTGTGTAATTTATTGATTACGAAATAGTTTTGTGACATTTGTGCTAAAGGTACATTTCAGTTTCTGTGCTGTGCTCCAGAAACAGATGAGGGGGGTGGGGGGCACAAAATAGAAATATTAAGTAAAACCTCACCAAAAATATGTTGTTTTTTTTGTTTGTTTGTTTTTTTTCAGGATGAAACTGTGGACTTCAGACAGTTTTATTTGAGTGTTGCTGCCCTCTCAGGATTTGTCAGCATCAAATCACTACTTCACACAGCTTTCAGTGTAAGTACTGTTTGTATTTTTTTTATGTCTGAATGTCTGAATGTAATCTGTTGCATTTTCTCAGACTCTGTACGACTTGAGCAGGAAACACTTTAAGAATTTTGTGTTGAAATCTTTATTTATTTATTTTTTTTTTATGCCTCCATGCATAAAATGGTTTAGATGGTTGACTATAAATAGTATAAAATGTTGATGACTGGAGAGAATACCCTCACAGTGAGTTTGTCAAAATGCAAAGCATCTAATGTGTTGCATTATTTTGTCATTGACCTCTCTGACCTGCTAAGTCATGAATTTTATTTATGTATTTATTTATTTTGTGAATGTATGTGTTTTACAGCTGTTTGACCGGGAAGGCAGAGGCAGTCTAAGTGCAGAGGACCTGTCAGACCTCATGGGGGCGCTGCTGGGCCTTCCTCAGCACAGCACCACTGAACTGTACCTGCAGGCCTCCAATCAAGGCCAGCTCACTGAAGGTCAGTGACTCTGAATAATTATCTAATTATCTAACTTAATTGCTCACTATCAAGGGAACTAAAAACTACTGTTTGTTATAGTAGTGAATGAGGGGGTGATTTTGGACATAGCCAAAATGATAATTTTTATGTCCTGCCACTGTAGAGCATGGTATACAGGACATTATGTCGTCATGCTTGTGTGTGTCTGTAAACACATTCTTGTGAACCTTGATAGTAATGAAGTATACCACTTGATAGTACTTGAAGCGTGTGATCTGATAAGATTTTGGTATGACTTGCTGCATAAATTTGCATATTAATGAGGGAACTTTGAATCCTCAGAAATTGCTGTTACTCCTTTAACACTTTATGCTGACAGTTAAGTTTATAGCAGGTATGTAGCATACAAAGACAAACATTGACAAGACAAGACAAAGATCGATAGAAACCTGTGTAAGGTTTTGTTTGTTGTTTTGATTGCTCTTCTTCATTATTGGCAGTTTAGGTTGTCTGTTCATTTTTAATTTTCCTCCCTGCTGTGAGAAGTTATTACTTTATGTAAACTAGAAGCCCAGTGTGTTACGGCTTACACAGTGTGAAATGTTTTGACATGGGGTAATAATAATAGAAGGATATTTAATGTCAAACTTGAGGCAATTTACTTTTAAGCAAAAAGGCAAGTGACACCTGACTGAACATTTGTGTTTCATCAGGTGATATTTAAGGGTCAAAACACTTTAAAATCCTCATTACATCTGCTTTGTTTCCTCAGAAAATCTGCTCCAAGTGCTGACGACCCACCCGACCTATCAGAGAGTAGTGAATGAATACCTGCAGCCTGAGGAGGCGGGCTCTCACCTGCCATTCTCTTCGCTGGCCAATGGGGAGGCTGTGAACAACAACGGAAACGTGCACAACAGCAACGGATCCCTCCACTACAACAAGAAGTTTGAATGAGGGTTTTTCTGAATATTAAATGAGAGTCGGATTCCTCTTTCTGCAGGATGTTGAGTTTTTCTGTGCTTATCATCGTCAAGTGCAGTTATGAAGATATGAGACAGTTTGAACAAGAATAATCATCGACAAAGTATTGTATTTTTAAAGTTTCGTGTCACACAGTATGTGTGTGGATGTATGGATGCATTTTTTAAATCCTCATGTCAATCTTGCAATTATTGGACAGCCAAAGAACGTATGCTACAGTGGCTTTCTGAAGTGTGTGTGTGTGTGTGTTTTTGAGGCCAGGAACTTGGAAGGTGTGTGCATGTTTAACTGTATGCCTTTTTAATTACCATGAAGAAAGGACTCAGTCACTTTTGTCATTTGAAGCCATCAAATGTCTTATTTATAAAATTTCCTCCTATGTATATAAAAACATCTTTTTTAAAGGGACAATGGAATGTGCAAAAAAAAAAAACTATACACTCAAAGTTTATTCTGTAAATGAATTATTTCTTACATTTTTGTATGAATATAGTTTTTTGTTAACAATTAATTAAACTGTGAATTGTTTTAAGTAGATTTTGCTGTTTGGGTTGTCCGTCTTTTTCCCACCTCTTTCTGTTTTTCCTTTTCCCGCCTTTTCTTTCCCATCACCTTTGGTTTGTGCAAGATAAAGTCCGTATATTTTGTAGGTAACTTGGAGAGCCGCCTTTGTTTCTTAGAAGGAAAGCGTGGGACCTGGATTCGCCTGAGACTCATTCTGGTTTTCGTTGCACTCCTCTCATCTCTTGAAGGCGTCTTGCCTGCAGTTTTTTCACCTTCAAAAGTTTCTTGTCCAGTCAAACGAGATGGATTTGAAATCAGTTTGTCCACGGCCTTTGTTTTACTTCTTGTCCTTGGTGTACAGACGCCAAATGTTTCATCATTGTTGCTTGACCCCTCATCGCCTTTCTCAATCCATGTTTGCCTCTGCTTCTCAGCTCTCCTAGAGTCAACCTCCCTCTTGATCTTCCACCTTGCTCTTTTCATCGGACTCTTGATGATTTCCGTCTCAATCCCCACATTTTCTGTCTCGTTTACCTTAGTCTCTTCAGAAGCCTCATGTTCCTGCCGATATCTTTTCATCGGACTCAGCGGTAGGCTTGGGTGTTTTGCCTCTTCTCCATTTGCCCTTTCCCCCTCACCTTTCCCATCTTCTGTCTGGTCTGGACTTGGTTTGCGACTAGACACCTTTGGCTTTGGTGACGTTGAGCTGTAAAAATCACAAGTCTTCGTTTGCATGACCTCACTGTGTCCACCAGCTCCGTCTTCACTTAGTGCTACTGTTTTGCCTTGTTGCTGGTTCACTTGAATCGACTCTGGATCTAGACTGGGGGATAATTTTGGATTTTTCACAGAGGGCGACTCCAGGCTCGAGAGAGGATGCTTATGCTCATCTCTGTCATTCAGTGGTGCTTCCCCTGGGGCTTTCTGGCCGCCTTGATCGATCATTATCATGTCTGTTGGAGGAGCTGTCTGAACTCCTGGGCTCTGCTGGGATGATGCTGTAGGTGGAGAGACGGTACTGAGGTTTGCAGAGTCCTCGTTGACCTTGCCCACCTTTATTTGCAAATCTTTATTTGTATCGTTCGCTGTCTCGCTACTCTCCTCTTCATCCTCCCTGCTTCTGCTTCTTTTAACCGGACTTGAAACAGACTCATTTGCATACTCCTTTACATTCACTTCTACTTTGTCCTGCATTTCTCTCTCGGGTGAGGCCTCTATCTCACTTGTTTCCATCTGTGAGTGTTGGCTTTTCCTTCCATCTCCAGAAGCAGAAGGAGGAATCAGCTGTGCTTTTTCCTCAGTAGTTATGCTCCTAGTTCTCCTCCTTACAAAACCAGATATTTGAATCCCTTCCTGTTTTCTTTTTATACTCTCCTCATCCTTTTCACTTTTCTCTTGTGGTGTTGTGGTTGAAAGAGTGTTTTCTACCTTGTCCTCAGAGGCAGAGGCAGGGGAGCAGTGCGAGGGCAGTGACTCCAATTCGAGTCTCTGTATCTCCACTCTGAGCTTTTGGTGCTGTTCATTCTTTCCCATCTCGGAAAATTGCTCGACTGTGTGTGTTATTTTTGTTCCTTGGCTCCGCTCTTCAAAATTACTCTCCTCTCTTTTACATAATTGTCTTCCTCCCGAGGACCGTCTGCTCTGTTTTTCATAAATTACCCCGTCTTTCTTAATGCTCCTTTCACTTGGTTTCCTCTCGTCTGATCTCTCTGTTTTGAATCCACCAATAAGTCCTGCTTTCTCTTTTTCATTTTGAACTGACAGCCTCTGACTGCGTCTGACTTTGACGAGTTTGGTTTCATTCTCTTTATTCTCTTCCTTCTGTTCAAAACTCATTTTAGCCATCCCTTCTTCTCTTGCTTTTCTAGCTGTTTTCTTTGGCGTCTCTGATGTTCTAGCACCTTTTTCCAAAATGTTCTCACATTTTTTCTCAGTGACACGTCGCTCTCTTGTTCTGAATTCAGAGAAAATGCGAGGTGACGCTAATTCTTGAGAAATTGGCAGTCCTTCTGGTGACTCTAATATCTGTTCTTCAGGCACTGAGCCTGATGAGTTGCCATCAACTTGAGCATCAGAGGAGTCTGGATGGGAATCTGCCACAGAGGACGAACTGGCTGGCGCAGGGATTGCATTGTTAAGGTCATTTTTGGGTGACATATCTTTTAGGCACGAGGACTCTGGGTTTATGTGTCTGGGACTATGTTGGTCTTCAGACTCCCTTATCAGGGGAGGAGGAAGTGCTTTCCGAGCCAGGACCCTTAGAGCTTGAGGGCCAGCTGACTGTGATTGGCTGTTGGTCAACAAATCAGCACTGAAATGAGGTGCAGGAGGGTCTTCAGTTGACCCTGCAACACTGGAACTTGAGGGGGACTCGGAGGCAGTGGGTTCCCAAGGTAGAGGTCCGCTCTTGGTCTTCTGGGACAACTGAGCTGACTGGGTGTTTGCAAAGTTTGAGAGGGACATTGCGGCGTCTTCTGACACGATTGGACCACTGTCATCTGCAAGAAATAAGGCTGCCAATACATCATGGTCTGCTGTCTCCAAGTCAAAAGTAAGAACGTCTGGGGCGGAATGTGGAGACAAAGTGAAAGTATTCTCCATGAAAAGGGAGCCATCGTGACAAAGACTAGACAAGGCATCAACAGGACTGAAGTGTTCTGGCGAACCATCAGTTGGCAGTTGTCTTTCCTTTGATCCTGTATGCAGAGGCGCAATTTGCCAATCGTGGTTTGGATTGGTCTCAGAGTTGCCCGGAGGATCCAATATAGGTGTCTGAGATGTTTGATCAGGTACAGGATCACTGATGGAGTCAGCAGACAGTTGATGTGATTGTTCCTGCACAGTCATCTCCAACACCTGTAAACCAAGAGGAAAAACAGGAAGAAGAAAAACTTACTAAGGTAATTAACATTTTTCTTGTGGCATTTTCCCAGATGCAAACAGGTATGCAGTATCTCATCTTTTCATACACAACCCAGCATTTGACTTTTCTCATAGAATTATGACTTAATACTTGTCGTCATAAAGCAAAAAAGTATCATGTTACCCATTGCTTTAATTCATTCAGTGGAAAAAGGTCAATGGATTCTGGATCTGGAGACACGGGGGGATCCAGATGCTCTGCATTCAGTCTCGATCCCAGCTGAGAGGAAGAGATGAAAGAAGAAGAATTAAAGGGCCCTGTAGAGATTTAGTGTTGCGCTTTCAAAATCTGGGGAGGGGCAGATTTAATTTGTGAAAATTGAAGCAGTAGAGGCCAACAACCCTGCATCTTACATTTGTCACAATTCAGCTCAACAGCATCTTTCTTTAGACCCGTCCTGCCTGATAAACGCCCAAATCTTTGAGGCTCCACAGGCCCAGGTTGAAACATGTCTTATCATCCAGCAGCAAGACAGTAAAAGAAATATATACATCTAACTCCTCACACTGTGCATAATAACTACAGTAATGATATAAGAGACGCACCAGAGATGACCTGTCAGTTATAGGATCGCTGCTGGAGTTGGCAGAAGGTTGATGTGACTGCTCCGGCAGCGTCGCCTGCAAAGTCAGAAAGAAGAAACAAAAAGATAAATAATAAATAAATAATTTTATAAATATGCAGTATACTTCACATTTTTATTTTTACAGAAAGGTCAAACTGCAGGGTTCAGTGACCCTCGGTTACTGACTCACAGCGGCGCAGTATTGTTGATGTTAATGGTCAAAATGGCACTTGTTCTTCTAATCCTAGATCGACCTGCCGCATCACGAGGCAATAATACACATCTGTTACTGTACTTATTCTCATGTTACCTCTTTCTCTTGTGGTTCCAGAGCGATAAAGTCGAGGATATCCGGGTCTGAAGAGAGGAGGGACTCCAGGAACTCTGTATCCAGTGTCGACTCCACCTGAGACAAAGAAGTGAGCACACAGGGACACACAAGATATATTTTTAAACCTTTGTGGCAAACAAGATAATAATATTGTCAAAATTTAAAAAGAAATTATAGGAGAATAATTTAATTTAAAAGTCGCTACTTATGCACTTAAGTTTCTCCCATTTTATACTAATGCCTGACGTACTTTTCTGACAAAGTCCTCATCGCTGCACAGTTCATCCAGATACTCCAGAAAGATGCTGTTTTCTGTCTCTAGTTTCTCCTTCTCTCCATCCTCGTCGTCCTCATCCTCACTCTCTTTGACCTCCACGTTTTCATGAATCTGAGAATAATCAAAACAGCAGAAAAATTGGGATTTTTTTTTTTTTCATAATGAAATATTGGCTGTTTTGAACAAACTTTTAGATTTTAAGGATTTTTTCAAAGGTATTTTTGGTGTTTTTCTTATGAATGTTTTAGTAACTCCTTAAACAGATATTCTTTTAGAAACAATAAATACATTCTCCTTTTCATTCATTCATTCATTCATCCTTAATGTAAATTTTTCTAGATTTTATATTATAACCCAAAGCTGTTGACCTTATCGGGACAGAGGGAGTCCATGATCGTCATGTATTCTTCAAAGGCGCGTTCTGCCAGCGATTCTTCATCTAAAGAGAGAAGAGATCCAGGAGAAACCACAGACTCTGCGGATTGTAGTTCCTCATCAGATGCATCATTTCTCTGCTGTTTTTCTGTGATGATAAAAGAAGTAAAAAAATCAGTTTGACTTTTAACCATTTTCATTTCTTCTTAGCATCCATAAGCTCTCTGTGTCCTGCAGGAAGGATTCATCCTCCAGGCATCATGAATGTTAGTGCAAAATTTCACAGCAATGCATCCAATAGTTGCTGAGATAATTCAGGGGAAAGGTAATGTCGATTTTTAGATATAAAGCCTTGACCTCTGACCTTCTGACTTGGCCTTCTCTTTACTCTGCTCTTTTCCTGCAGACTTTGGCGTCACATTTAACTGCTCACCAACTGGCTCAACTGCCTTCCTTGACAACCTGGGGTCAGACATGTGATATTAGATACAGTACTAAAGTCATGATTTAATTATGGACCAGTCGATACAATAATATAATGCTGTCTGATGTGTGTTCCTTACAGGTCAGGCTCGCAGGGCTGCTGGACAGGTTGAGACTGTGGACACACACACCAAACGGGGCGAGCCTCAGGCAGGAGGAACCAGGACTGAGGGGGGGAAAATGGGCTGTATGGGAACAACACACAGGGGCTAAAATCACACCTGGCGTTGGGTGTGGTATTCATCCAGCAGGCCTCTTGACCAAACCAGGGGGTCATTCTGAGCTCTGGTACAAGTGGTGTCACGTCAGTCTGGACGCCTGGTGATAAAGCCTGGAGGTTGAATAGAGGGGGACAAATACTGGGCATGAAAGTTAAGTTAAAGGGATTCTCATGGGCTTGTATCTGGGGGTGGGTGGGGCCCATCATCAGGCTTGGCAGGGAATGTAGAGTTTGCTGGTTTGGATTTTCTTCCTTTTTCGTCCAAGATGGCGTGTCTCTGTTCTGCTCAGAATGAGCAAACCTCCTTTCTCCAGCAGTGGAAGCTCTCAGGGATGCCACCTCATCCATCCTCGCCCGATGAGGCTCCGATGAACAAAGCTGCCCAACGCTGCTATCTGACAATTCATGGATGTGTAGCTCTTCTTGTGAGGCAGATCTGTCGGTAGGAAACAGGCGATGATCTTCTCTGTCAGACAAGATGATCTCAGGTGGATAAATCGGCACTGGATCCATTCTTTATCTCTGTCGCTGTGTAACTGTTAAAGGTGAATAGTGAATATCAGCAGTTTGTAATTTGGCCATTGTCGTTGTTTATTATTGAGATTGTTTAGTGTGTAGTTCCAAGTAATAGAAAAAAGTGCAAACAGAAAACAATAAAAAATGATGCAAAAAACTAAATTATTTTATCATCATTACTATTATTTATGTTCACTTAAATGTTTGTTTTTGTGTTTGAGGGCCCCTTTGCCTCTCAAGACCTTTATCATCTGATTAAATTTGTGCCTGGATGTGTTGGTTCATATCTGCAAGATAATAAAGTAATATATAACATTGTGCATTTGAGAAGCTCAGTAGCTGCTATGATTTCATCTGTGGACGAGAGCTTGCGTTGGAACAGATCCATCTACATGGCAGCTATATGCAAACTGCCTCCATCTGCTGGTAAACTGTGTGATACTGTTACAAGCTCAAGAAAAAGCTAGTAAGGAGACTTTGAGTTGTTATTGTATTGGTCAAAAATGTACCTTCACTCATTAAGCATTATGTGATGACTTAAATTTATAATACATAAACAACATATATTACTTTCTTTGTTAATATTAGAGCCTGGAACAATTGGGTCCATGTTTTTCCTTAAACAAGCAGTAATTACCATGTTTCTTCTCTGAAGCATCTTTTTTAAATTAATGATTAAATGAACTGCTTCTATTAAATTTATAATTTTAAGGAGCATTTCCACATGACAAGTGATTAAAACACAGGAGACTCATCCTTTGTGAAAAGTGAGAAGTTGAACCTTGTTTGCACACGCTCAAGATACTAACTGAACGTTCAAAACCCTGGATACAGGTTTAATTATCAGAGAGAACAGTGTCAGTGGAAAATAACACACATTGTGGATCGCTCAAATATTTCTCATCAGGCTTACCTTTCTTGTGGGAGATGATTAGTCTTCAACCAATGCTGTAAAAATGTGTTCATCAGTTTGTCTCTGCTCATGTTTTAAAAATAAACTTGATTCAGGTCGACTTTTGTTTACTTCTGACTAAAAGTTCTGTGCATGTAAACATTCCAGACTCCATAAAGTCTCATAAATAAAAATTTTACCAGATTGTGTCAGAAATCTGAAACAGTTGTGTTGCAAAACATCTTCTAGAAAGAAGAAAAAAAATCAGTTTATTAAAATGAAAGTTGTAGACAAAGTGAATTTATATTTTGTTGAATACATTTCAAAAGCCACTATTTTCCAAAGTGGGAGACATAAAAAAAATATGTTTCATTGAATTTTATCTATATTGATATTCATACATGAAAAGCTTCATATACTTTCTATCTAACAAGTGAGCATTAGCCATCTGCGGATGAAGCCCATTACAAGTGGCTGAAAGCTCTAGAAGAAATCTAGAAAGAGAACTTTGAGGTAAGAGCTTCTTTTTCAAGGTTAAAAATCAACCTTGAAGCTCAGAAGCATTTTCGTGTCTCTCTGCTAGTACTTTTTTTTAGGGACCTTTAGGGACTTTGGGTGTTTAGGAGGATATTAGGAGACTCCAATTCCCAGAATGCCGAGCGCTTTGAATTCAGAACCGGATATCCGCTCTGCCATCCGGGCGACGAGAAACTTTGCTGCACGTGGAAACTGAAGGAGAAAATTTGTTTTCTTTTCGATACAAGTCAGCTAATATTATTATTTTTTTTCATTTTTGTGGATCTACAAAACAAGTGCTTTCCGCGATGTTTCTGCAGTATTACGTGGACGAGAAGGGGGACAGAGTCTACACTCTGAAGGTAACGTTATGTTTACATCCCCAACATGTGACTTTACTCTCCATTAATGTATTTTTGCTCCTAGTTTCACTCTAGCTCGTCGATATAGAGGCTTATTTGAGCTCGTTGAACATTTTCGATCTCTGGAAACGCTGGTACATAATTGTTATTACGTTAACGTACAGGAGACCGAGGCGAAAATGATTTAAACCCTGTAATTCGACTGTTAAACTTAACATGGGGCAAACAAAGCTCATTGAAATAAAAGACATACGTAAACAAAAAGCAACATCAGCGAGTGAAGTCTTATCACAGGTAACATGCAGCTGGACGTTAGCACTGAATGGAATAATCAGATAGCTGGAGCTGCAGACAACAGTTCTTTTTATCATATATAATCAATCAATTTGTGACAAATAATTTATTCCACCAGATATCCAAGACATTAAATACTCTCCACAGGCTACCAGAATCCAAGTTTTTGTGTTCTCATACTTCTTGCAAGCAAAAAATAAACAAAGTATTCAAAACATGTAAATGTATATTCCTTTATTTCTCATTCTCTCCTGGTTTACGTTTAACATCCAGTTTATATAAAAGCTGCAACTATGAGTTGATTTATTAATTAGTTGGTTGACATAATTAATCAGTAGCTATTTTTATAATCATTTACTAGCTTTAGTCATTGCCGCAATGGTATGAGCTGTGGAGTGTTTACTGCTTTTCCTTTACATGATAGTGAACTGAATACCTCTGGGTTCTGGACTGTTGTTCAGACAAAGCAAGACATTTAAAGACTTCATCTTAGTCTGTGGGAAATTACAATGGTCATTTTTAACTATTGACTGACATTTGATATTTTTTAGACAAAACAGTACATCAATTAGTTGAAAATATAATCTGCAGATTAATCAGTAATAATAATTGTTGCATACCTAGTTTTATATGCTTATTACTTTTCAGTCATAAGTTTTCAGCTGCAACGTTCACTTTTTTCCACAATGTCTAATCGTCAAGACTGAAAGGTTCATAACTTTCAATAATACAGATCTCTGTTGCCTGATTTAACATTACAAAGCACACAATAAATCTGAGGAGTTGTGAGGTTATCAACAGGACAGGGAAGGAAAGAAAGATATATATATGTTTTAGATACAATAACATTTATTTATTTTCCTCTAGACTTTATTCTTGGGAATCCTGGATGGTTTTGCCTTTTCTGCCCTAAAACAATGATTCAAAGGACACTAGAGAGGCAAAGTCATGTTTTGGCTAGAGTTCATAGATCGATGTGACCTATGATGATGTAGTGCAAGGAGACTTCACTTATTTTAAGGTTGGGGACCACTGAAGTAGATGATTAAACAAGCAATAGTGTTAAACAAGCAATATATGAACTATCAATAAAAAGTCTTTTATTCATCGCTCCCAGTGCTGAAATCAACTGAGCTTTCTCTTTCCTTCTTTGTCACCAACAGAAGATATGTCCTGACGGGCAGCCCACCAGCTCGGCCCATCCAGCCCGCTTCTCCCCAGACGACAAGTTCTCCCGACATCGGGTGATGTTGAAGAAACGCTTCGGCATTCTGCTCACCCAGCAGCCCAGACCTGTTCTGTGAGAGAGAGACAGAGAGAGAGAGAGAGGGCAGAGGTGAAAGCAGAAGGAGGGAGAGGTGGATCGATGGAGACCAAGAATTGGAGGGGTGAAGGCGAAGATAGGACTGCAAAGCAAAGAGCAGGAAAGCTCCAGGCCCAAATCGAAGGGACTGTTATTGCATTGGATATCAGCTGTCATTGATTATTTTTTTATGTGCTGTAATTTGTTGACATTCAGTTTAGGTTATTGTTATGATTTTGTTTTCATGCTGAATAAATGTTCAGTTCATAAACTCTATTCTTTTGTCTGAGTGTATATAAAATCCAGAGTAGGTGACAAATTAAAGAATAAAACCTGACTAAAATCAGTGGGGGAAACGTAACAAAGTAAATGCTTCCATATAGAGCATGAAGGCAACCAAGGGGTTACGGCCTGCTAAAGAATCACAACTGGTGAGATGAATAATGGGGTAGGAGAAAAAGAAAAGTTCTAAACAAACTTGTATCTATTTATTTATTTTGACTTTTCCATAATCTTGGCTTTTTTGAAATATTGGATACTTTCACCTTTTGGGAACTTGAACAGTTATTGGACCAGTGGAAATGCTAGCAACTCTGAAATGTGACCAAATAGCACACTAGTGTTTGTAAGATGTCACAAGACAAGAAGGATCGGAACCAATGGCGTAATTCTAAACGCTGTTGTGTTTTATATGTTTATTATGAATTTCTTTAAAATGACACAGAGCTGCAAGCTCTTGATCTGAAAAGTAACAACTACAGCTGTCATGGAGAAAAAGTACAGAATTTCCCTCTTAAATGTAGTGGTGTAAACATACCATAAAGTGGAAACACAAGTAAATAAGTAAGGTACAAGTACCTCAAATTTCTAATGAAGTATTCGTGTCATCATTATAAACGATTTTTAACCTATTACAACATTTAAGTAATACATTTTAAGCAGGCAGATTTAAAAACAGTAGAAACAGAGACAATCCATGTCTGGGCTACAAGGACTACATTTCCCAGGTAGCGATGACAGCTTGTTAGTCATCACGCACGCGCAAGCCGTTGGGACGACGGCAAGGGAAATAGGACCTGCCGCGCGCTATTGCATGTTTCCTTTTTGTTGGGTCGGTTGGACAAAAAAGTGCCGTGAAAACCTGGGAGCGGAGCCAATTCTTCCCAGATGTAACTGAAAACAGTCGTATGGTGGACGCATTTCTTACGGGAAACTTCAAACAGGTATGCGCTTTATGTGACTGCTGTGTGGGGTTTGAAATCTTCAACGGGCGTTTGTCGCTGTCTGTGAGATATCTGAGGAGGTCCGCGGAGTTGACAGTTTATCAGCGGCATGGCTAACGCTAGCTTCGGCTAGCTGTACCGTCAGTGACCACCTCACCCGATACAACCCCCTCCTCCTGTATCTATAGAAGTGATGGCTGAGTGCTTCACGCGCAGCTCTTCATTATACGATGCTTACTTTAATCGAAAATCACAACTTTGCCAATAACAGGCTAATTACTCCACCAGTTTGTCTCAATGCGTTTAAACCGCCGCGGTTTAACGCCAGATGCCGCATTCCTTTTGTCATGAAAATGTTGTCTTAAGGTCATGTTTGAAGCAACACATATTCTTATAATTTCATTACAACGCCAGGTCTGAATGTGTAATAATATCGGGAGGCGTTTACTGACCGGTTCAAGCCAGAATTATTATGGCTAGCTTAATTGGCTTAGAATGGCAACTGAGTGGTGGCTAGCAAGCGAGCATCAGCAACAACTGGGCTTTCAGCAGGTTGAAACTAATTAAAGGATTTTGTTTTTAATTGGTAAAGGCTAGTTTGGTTATATGCTTGTCCCTGGGTCATAATGATTACAGCTGAATTTACATAAACCCCTGTGATTGAGACTGATTGAACACGAGACCAGGACGACACTATCTCTTTATTTTTGGATTATTATCTAGTTAATTATATTGTAATAATTGTAACAATATTTTGGATATGAGCTCAGGTGCTATGCTGTGGCACTTAAACACCCATTTATTACCTCCCTACTGAAAAAATTAGCCAAGCACCTAACATTACAGCCCTGTACTGCTCATTTAACTCTGATAAAACATTGCAAGGCTCAAACTAAGGATTTTTTCATTAATGGTTATATTCTAGGTTCATTAATCAGTTGTTAGTCTTTAAAATGTCAGAAAATAGTGAAAAAACCCAATGTAACGTCTTTTAATGTCTCATTTTCTGTGAATAACAGTCCAAAACCTTAACATATTCAGTTTACTATCATGTACAGCAAAGAAATGCATCAAATAAAAAAAAAGATTATACTATCAATATGATATATTATCTAAATAGTTGTCAATCAAGTTGTCAAGCTGTCAATCAACTAATAGTGCAGCGAATTCAGAAAATTATCTTGCATACACCAGTAATACAGCCTGGAAGATAAATGAAGATATTAGGTTAAGTCACAGGTGATATTAGTCTCCTGTGATTGAAAGCATAAATCACAGCATATGGTTAATGTGAATCAGGGTAACACATCATTGATTCTGTGCCATATTACAAGCATAATATCAATGTTATTGAACAGAAAAAGAATCCCCTGAAATACAAAATAAGCGCTCAAATAAGCAGAAATCCGGTTGAATTATTTGAGAGGAGAACAGAATGTTCTGCACCTTGTCCTGCTCTTTTCTCTGGTTTCTCTTTCAGTCTAAAGACATGCCATAGAGTTGTATTGAAGACTAATTGCCTCTAGGTGTGAATGTGTTTGTCTAGACTGATAACCTCTCCCGGGTTTTTGCTGTACAATGCGTGCTAGTGCTGGGATAGGCCTCAGCTCTCTCTGTAGCTGGAAGTTGGTGAAAATAAGCCCCATAAGCCCCCCACTCTCTTCCCAGGCATGCTTTGCAAGCTGGGCATGAAAGGTGCAAAACCCATCTACCCCACCTTGCTGTCTGTTCCCCTGTTCATCTCTGAATGTGCACTGACAAAGTGTGAGAGAAAGGCAGCATTAAAACGGGGTTGGGGTGGTGGGGGGTGGGGGGTGTGTGCCATGTCTCTGCATGCAGAGTGAGAGAAAACAGCCAGCAGCTACTGGCACAACCGGTTGGAACCGCTCTCCTTTTAATAATTAAATTATGAACCAAGCTAAAACAACAATTCAGCTATATCCACCTGTCTTGTCACTTTTTCTCTCAAGACAACAGAGTAAATTGCATAGTTGACTTTGCACCTGCACGGCACGCCGGCCAACTGTGAAGCTCAGACTGGTTATTGTTTTACACCTCCTTCATTTAGAAAGGTGTCATGTTGTTGAAGGATAAAACCCCAGACACAGTTTTCCCTAGAGTTAGTTTTTGTAAAAAGTGACATATATTCACACAAAGGAAAGTAGGCTGTAATGATGAATATTTGCTCAATGTATGTATTATTTCAATTAGCAACTTCTTTTGTTGACGTTTTATTGTGTAGGAAGGCAGGTTAGAGCCTGTATTTGTTGATTTTAGGAGCATGGGGTGAATTTAAAGGCAAAAAAGATACAGACCTCCTCTTTCAGCTGTCTCCACGTGAATTTGTTTTATGGCACTACAGAGAAAGCATTGTAAGACTGTGTTAAACTGATTATCTTTGCAAGTAAACACATTACACAATGGCTGCCTGACAACATGTTGTAGATACAAATATGTGGAGAAAAGTGCTGCTTTTCCTAATTGTAATTCACAGTACATGCAGCCTACTTATTTTGTTCCTTTTCACTGTATATAAACTAACTTCTATTGTATTTTTTCCTCTCTGTCTCAATCATTTCTCTCCCATCACATCCTCCCCTGCCCTCACTGTGACTGCTCATGGTTGCAGCAGAAAGTAGAAAGACACTTTTATCTCCAGGGTGCAAGTCAGACAAAGTCTATATGTGTTTACTTGACAAAAGGCAGAGAGAAAGACGTCAGTCCTCAACTACAGGAATCAAGACATAGAGTAGGTAGAAAAGATTCTGTACAGATACACTATTTCAATTTGACGTAAAAGGAAGACGAAAAAGATTGAGCTTGACACAACAAGAAGAGATCCCCTCAGCTCTTTATGTATGTGTGATTATCATCACTGCCAGCTGCTTGAAACCACATGCACACATTCATAGGAAAGAAATAATTCCTGTGCTGGTATCACTTTCAAACAGAATCAGAAAGTCTTTTGCACTTGTAGGCGCAGAAAGAGGCCTTTGGTACAGTTTCTTTCACATGCCTGGTGGAAGACGACTACTTTGCTTCAATGGAGAATTGCAGCTGCAAAGGGACAAATTGTAGTGGCCGCTGTTACCTCGGCATCACCTGGGAGAAAGCCTAGCCTAGCCTAGCTTAGCTCAAGTCAGCACAGCCCTGCTAGCTAGTCCGTGAAACCTCCCCAACACCTCTGCCCCCTAGCCATCCATCTTCTCCTGCCTCCCATACATCCCTCGCCTCCTCGTCTAACTTTTCCAAGTGAGTTGCCATGGCATCAGTGCGCTTCACGGTGACGCCCACCAAGGCGGAGGACCTCCCGGGGCTGTCCGACACATCTCCTGACATCAGCTCCCGCTCCGGTGCCCGCGTCCGCTTCGGCTCCAGGGAGAGTGTCAATCGAAGTGACCCTCTCAGCGAGACGTCGGGAGGCCTGACAACTACTGCCACAGCAGGAGGAGGGACTGACACGCCAGACCACAGCAACACAGAGCAAGGTGAAGAACGCACAAATTGACATACTCTGTTGTCGCTGTGGTTTCAAGGGACACATAACAATTTTATGCTTAAAATATGCATCATAAAACATGTTCACACTTTTTAATGGTATACAGAAGCCCTGACTGGAGAGCTTCACACATGCAGATCACACACCTAGTCTGCATAACAACATGTCACTCTATTGTATCCAATCCCTAATCTAATCTGAACTACTTACATGGCTACAGACATTTTAATCCTTATGTTTGAGACATGTAAGCCAGCCACTCCTTCATGACACACTGGCTGAGAAATAAGCATGTAATGTCACACGTTCCTGAACAGTTGAACCTGCATTCATAGTGGCTGCATTTTGAGCAGCATGTGGCCTTTGGATTCCCATGAAGTTCTGTAAACAAAAATCAATGGCAGTTGGGGAGAACTGTCTATAAGGATGAAGCACAATCATGCTCCGAATTCAGAAATGTATCAAATACAAAGCACATACAAATAAGGAAACGCAAGCTGTGGGGGAGCGATGGGCTTGATGTGGATAAGCAGCAATGTTACAGATATTTTTGCGTGACGATCAGACTTTATGTATCTAACCTAACCCTTTAACCCAAGTTTTGGTATTTTGTTCAGATGAGAAAGCAACCATTTAGATTTCCAACTAGTGCTCAGTTTATACAAAAAATAATTTCATTTCAGAAATTTCTCTTTTTAACGATGTGAAGATGTAAGGTGGTCATCTCAGCAGTTCACAGTGTAGCTCCCGAGATGACCAGCCGGTCAATGTACACCGTTGTCCAAGGGAGAAAAATCCCTTTGGTACTTACCACCAACTCTGTTATCTGTAGTGTTTCAATATATGTTGTCATTTCTTTTGGAGGAGAAAATTTGGTCTCTGAGTTGAAATATAACATTTGTTGTTGCCAGTCTGTCTGAAGGTAAAGCTGAATACATAATAAATACATGTTTTATTGGACAGTTTAACAACAGCAATGCCTCTGTGGACTAACTATAAAAGATTAACAGAGACAGTGCAGTCAGTATTACACTTCACTTTATTTTTTAATATGTATTACAGATTGAATAACAGATGTATTTTTTACTACACTCACTGTCAGTTAGATCCATAAATTGACTTTTTTGCTGAAAAAGAATTATAAGAGTGTCTATAACATTTCTGCATATACAAATCAAATTGAACCCATCACTCTGCCCTTACTTCCTGAAGCACTTCTATTGTAGCAATTCTTGGTGTGTGTGTTTTCCCTATTTATCTGTTGTCTTTGTTTGTTGCCTTTCTGGATCCTTGTGCATGTTTTGGTGTAAATCCCTCATACAGGCTGCATGCCAGAGTTTCTTGACCTTTTGTCACATGATTTCTGTGTTATTCTGATTGATTTTAGATGTTTACCTCTTTCTGCCATTCATATCTGTCAGCGTGTGAATTTATCTAACAGAGCTTTAACTCACTTGCACAGTTACAGATGTAGAGTGCCATTCATTAGTTACAGTTTCAACACAGGAATTCTTACTGTGAAATCAGTCATGCTGCGGTCAAGCACAGGCAGCACACTGGCTCATGCTGGACTGAGGCCACTGGCAAGAAAAATATTCGAGCTCACAAGGTTTCAACAAGCTCTGTTTCAAAAATGTCAGTTTAATGGGAAGTAAAAAGCGAAGTGCTATTTTTAGATCCATCCTCACGCATGTCTCGAGTTTAACAATGCCTTTTTAAATGTGTTTTATGGCTCTCTGGGTCATTAAGCTCTCCCATTTGTTTCCTAAGTGAGAGCTTGACTCCGGGCTGCTCCCTTAGGGGGTCCACAGCAGAATGAGCAACAGTTCAGCGCCACAGTTATTGCACTCAGCAGAATCCTCAATAAGAGGATGAAAAATGTATGCCTATTATGACCATAGTGTAGGTTTCACTTCCCCCACTGCTGCTCAGCCCACCTACAGAGAAGATACAGTGATTCAGCCCTTAACTTTATGCTAGCTGACAGCAGAAACCTTTTCACATGGACTCAGGTTTAACAAGTGCAGATGTGCACCTGGTTAGTCTAGTTTGACATGAGAATGTGAGGGAATCCGGAAGAGTAAATGAAGAAATCAGTAAAAAGTTTTCTTTTGTGCTGTGACTGTGCAGTTGTCGTGTGGAGTGCAGTAAATCACTCTCCACAAGTGTTTAAGAATAGCTGTGCTGATTCACGGGCTCAACAAGAGGGTTATAACCGTGGAGAGATGTAACTGTATTAGCTGCACTGATCCACTTAAGCAGTTGCATAGTAGTAAGGATGCCCCACGTTGTTTAATAAGCTTCCATAAATAGAAATGGAGCCAGTTAATCAGATTAAGTTTCGATCAGGCTGTTGTGATACTGTGGTTGTTTATACAGAGACACAAAAAGGGAGATTGTTGGAGACACAACTACACGACTGTTCTGCACAGCCTGTCCGTCTCTCTGTCCATCACCCACACAGAAACTATCAGAAATAGCAGAGCAGTCATGTCCTGGGCGGCTGAAATAGAAAAACCAGCATGCTGACAAGAAAAATGCTGTTATTAAAGTGAATCAGTCAAGAACCTGAAAGGCGCTGAAAAGGAAAGCAGGCAGGAGGAGTTGAGAATTATTTTCAGAAAGGTCAAATGCTCTGTGATCCATTATGTTTGACACCGATAAAGTCAGCTGTTGCGTTTGATGCCTGTTGACACGTGCGCACACACACACACACACACACACACACACACACACACACACACACACACACACACACACACACACACACACACACACACACACACACCTGGCTTCAGTATCTTTCTGCTTCACTGGTTGCTCAGACATACACAAAAAGGCATGATACTGAGGTGTGGTAATCTCAGGTGGAGGGCTCCTCTTGGGGAACGCACACACAGCAGACAGCTGTGTTCCTCTGTGCTGAGTGTGAAATCTGCAGTTCAACAGCTGAGGTTTTTAGAGAGGTATTTACAGGAAGGTTATTTTTTTCTGCACTTCTCACAGGTGAACCTGGACAGTTAGGATTGTAGATTTGTGAGGCAGATAACCAAAAAAAACAATAACAATGTATTGGTAAACGTCATTTGTGGTTTTAACTTGAGTGAGTGGAATCACTTCACTTTTTTCTTCTTTTTTTTTTTTAGCCGTGTCCTTGTACACAGAGTAATGCAGGAGCAACAGCACAGCAGGCTGTAAACTTTACATATCAAGTCTTGTGTCAAAATTACTAAACCACTAAAGCAACTGTGATAGAACAGAACTGTGTTATTGCAGTCAGCTTTGAACCAGATGGTGGTACAGCCTCCTCTACTGTTGTCCAGTGTGACTGAGTGTTCAGCTCACAGCGCTGTTGATAACTGTCACAACTCAACTGCGTTCAGGGTGCACACTTTCACTTCCTCTGTGTGGAAATGTTTTTGATCAAAGGCATTAAAATGTGAGTCTTAAACACGTTTCAGTCTCATGCAGGGTGATACAGAGGTTGAGTGCAGGGCAGCTGAACACACAAAGACAGTCAGTCAATAATCATAGACTGAAGAAACTTAAATATTCACAGTGGAGAAGCAGGAACTGGAGAATAAAAAATATATTTATTTAACTCAAAACTTTCTTAATGAATGGTCTGGCCTATAAAATGTCAGAGAATAGTGAAAATCATGCCACCATCATATCTTCATATGTCATGTTTTGTCTGACCAACAAATAATAACAGATGTCAGTGCATCAACTCTGCATTAAGTAACAGAAAAAATACTATTGCGACTGTTGTGTCAGATGGAGATGTCAATGTCACCAGGCTGAGCAGAGACAGTCTGAGCAGTCAGGAACCTTTGACATCCAAAAGACGCTGTCGTCATCTCTGTGACTCCTGACTGACGAGACCAACAGGTTAGGTGATAAACATACCAGACGGATATCCCGTCCCGAGTGTGTGAACTGGACGGTCTTGCTGACATGCACTGATATGTATCTGTATTTATCCAAAACACCTTTATTTCATGTGAGAGCAAATGAGCAAATAGCCTGATTAGCTTGTTAGTTAATCTTTTCCCACCACGCCAGCACGCTTCAGCCACTGAATATTAACCACCAAGCTGGTGTGGAGTCAGTTTCACGCTCACTATCTTGGGCCAAACGAAGGACTGTGAACAGGATGGGAACTTACCACCCACCAGCCAAATGTTGGCTTTTTTTTTTCTTTGAATGGCTACTGACTTTTTTTCATTGTGTAACCAGCTGATGCACTGTTTGAGAAATGAAGTTAGATGATAAGATAGTGAAAGTTGCTGATGCATTCTGGGTGTTTCCCCCGCCAGTGCATCATCTGTTTGGACTATAAAGTAGGAGCAGCATTTCCCGGCCTCTTTGGCTTAGACTGTACTTGTATCGCAGCTTATGTCTGCTAGTTGTAAGTATTTCTATTAATTTCACAAGAAATTTTTTTTTTTTTTAAAGATAAACATAAATTTTGATTCACGATTTGATTTCAGTTGTTTTTACATTTTAATTTTCACTGAAAATGATATAAAAATGATGATGATGTGAGGGCATGTATCAAACGGGATGTTCCTTTACGTGTAGAGAATGTGATGTGTAGGCCGGGGTGTCTCTGTAGCACCACAGTGCTTATGGTGCTAACAATGCACAACAATGTTGTGACACATTTTACCTTTATCAAAAAATTTGTTGCTCCTGCGATTTTTTTTTTGCAACTCCTGTGATTTGGGTATTGCACTTGGCCATATTGCGATTTCAATTATTTTTCGATTAATTGTGCAGCCCCAATATTTATCTTGGACCCTTAGGTCTCCCATGTTTGCCTTTAGGCTTAGGATGAAATCCAAACAAGAACTGTAAACTGACTGTAGAGTCATAGAAGTTAAGAATGGGAGGATAGCAACAAAGTGTAAGAATAAGATTTTCACACATAAAATAATGTTGGTAACAATCGACTGATCAGCGGTGCCTCATTTTTCTTTTTTCTTTACAAAAGACCCATGCTTCATATGAGTCTCAAGTCCTGTCATGTTTGAGTGTCCAGCTGTCAAGTGTGTCACTGCGTACGGCCGTTTGCTGCCGTTAGCGTGACTGTAGCGGAGCAGGGAGGGAAGTGTTGTTGCTGACTCAGGTGCTGCTGATGCAGTGGTCTGTGCTGACTGAGGTGGAACTGAATTGGTGACATGGTGGCTGTTGTATGAAACTCTGTATGTGTACGTGTGTTTGTGTGAGAGAGGGAAAGTTGGAATGAATCTGAGTGCAACTCGACCCCAAAGAGCCATAGTGACAGTGATGAAAACGGCCACCAGTGTGTCCACACTGATTTCCTGCTGTGTCACCCTTCTCTTTTCTTCCCCTCTCTCTGTCTTATCATCTCTTTATTTGTGTCTAGGTGATGGAAATTCCAAAATCTCCAGTGTGTATATCAACAACAGTCACGGGGTGGATGATGATGACTTCTATGACAGAAACTTGGCCTTATTTGAGGTTAGAAACACAATATTGATAAAACTGTTATCCTATGCAAACAAATTTCAATCATGTTATAAATATTCTGCAAACTTCTTGGTTTGTATTAACGGTAGAAAACACTTTTTCTCTTTGCCACATTTGCTGCTTTCCTAAAAATGCTCATTTTCATTATACACGGATAAAAACAGAATCTCCACATGGTGGCTGTTTATTTGCCAGTTTGTCTGCTACACTAGAGCCAAAAATAGACCAGCATTTGGTTTGTGGGTGCAGATAATTTTAGTTTTTTTAGATTACAAGGTTCCCTGGAAACAGCTCTTTTTCTATCTCCACTTTCTTTAACAAGCCACATAATATGCCTCTTTCTCTCCTCAATTTTCTGTTCCTTTACCTCCTATCTCTTGCCTTCCTCTATGCTTGTCATTCTTTCTTTCCTCCATCTTTCTTCTTCTTCACCCACTTATTCTCCCTTCTCTCTGCCTACTTCCCCGTCATTTCTATACCCTGTTTTTGGTCCTTCTCTTCTTTCTTCTGTCCCCTTTTCTTTATCCTCTGACTATCTTATTCCTCCCCCTCTTCTCTGCCTTCCTGCGCCCACTGTCAACCCATCCATTTTTTTCATGTCTTTCCACCCTATTTCTCCCTTCAACATCTCCCTCCACCACTCCTCTCCTCCCCCGTCTCTCTTCATCCCACAGGAGGAGATGGACACTCGGCCGAAGGTGTCCTCTCTCCTCAATCGCCTGGCCAACTACACCAACCTGACACAGGGGGCCAAGGAGCACGAGGAGGCCGAGAGCATTGGTGAGAAGAAGAAAGCCAGCAAGGTATACCAGACTCTGTTTGCCTAACTCATCTTTTTAACTGATAATAGACTTTCAGACTCATCAAGGCAAATTTAAAAACACACAGCAAAAGAACAAAAGCACAGTAAATCACATAACAAACAGAAGTGAACTCACAGTGTAAGTCTTATAATAACAGAATCTTGTCAGTATTGACTTTCCTGCAATTAAATACTTTTCTCACAGCTAAATCAAAGTCTTATCTGTTTAGATGTACTTTAGGACTTTGATGCCCGTGACGTCACCCATACATCATACATGCACCAAATGTACTTTGTCTTGCTGTACAGTGTCCTTATGCTACAGCAATCTTAACCCTGATGATAATTATACGTACATTTGTGGTGCAACACGTACAGAGTTGAAATGATCATTACCACTGTAGGAAATGTCAGCACATACCTTCTGTCTGAAATGGCATAAAGGCATAAAAATGAAGGAAACAAGACAGATCTCTGTCTAAAATCAAATTAAAGATTAAAGATTTAATTTATGCTCATTGAGTCCCAGACAAATCTACAACTATCGCCCTCTTGACCCAGCGTCTAGAAGTGAAAGTACAGTAGGATGTGACCCTGATCTGCACTGTGATCCCTGCTGATAAGGAACCGACTGGCCTAAATAAATCTGTTGTGGTGGTTCAGAGTAATTTCCCATTTCCACCCCGTTCTGATTGTACGTTTGCAGGATTGGACACATTTGCCAACAGACGGCTGGGAAAGTTCAACCAAAACATTTTTAATCCTCCCTTCTGGCCACACAGTGTGTTCAGGATAAGCATTAACATAAGTCTGGTGCATTGAGGGGTACTGCTGCAGTTCCTAGTCAGCACGTTGTGCAGTAGCTTTAAAAGATATATCCACATCTTTGTGTAAAGTAGGAAAAAATAGCCAGATATTGTGGAGGATATTTATAATTTACAAATGTGCAGTGCTGAGCTTGAAATTTTGTTACAATAACCAGTAAACTACCAGCCACAATAAGGTAACGGCACACCAACCTGAGGCAGTAACTCCATGTATTACAATTTGAGATTGTTGGAAATCAAGTGAGGAAAAACAGCTATAAGTGATGAATAATTGTTTGAAATAGTATATAAAAATGATTGAAATATATAGTTAAAAGACATTTATAAACAATGATAAGATGAAAGACAAAGTAGAAATAAAAGGAAAAGGTCCTAATAGACTCTCTCTTAACTATGTTCTATGTTTGGGCTTTGTTGCTGATAATAATTTAGTTCTGTCTCTCTATGTACCTTCCAGTCGCCACAGATGGGCACGTTTATGGGCGTTTACCTGCCTTGCCTCCAGAACATCTTTGGCGTCATCTTGTTCTTGCGGTTGACCTGGGTGGTGGGGACTGCTGGGGTGCTGCAGGCCCTCTGTATTGTCTTCGTATGCTGTTGCTGTGTGAGTATTTGGGTCTGTAGCTGCAGTGTGTTCGCAGACAGACGGGCATGATCAGACAGATGAAGAAAACTTTCTAAATTGGTTATTTGTCTGTCTCTCTTCTTCAGACAATGTTGACTGCAATATCGATGAGTGCAATCGCCACTAATGGAGTTGTACCAGGTATGCCTTCACCTCTCTGTCTCTCCAAATATGTGGATTGAACGGCACATGTTCGACCTCCTTCACAAAACCTAAACAGCGGGAGGAAACTAACTGGAAACACAAGATTAGAAAAAAAGGTTTTTAAAAGGTTGCAAATGGAAACAAACTGATTGGATCAATAAGAAGTTGACTGTCAGAAAATTCATAAATTATTATTTTGACTATGAATTCCTCAGTTCCTCAAGGAAATTTTCAAGTATTTGCTTGTTAGGGACTAAAAAGGCCAACATTAATTTTCTGTGTCTCATGACACTCATGATAGAGCAAATGATGATAAGATAAACAATAGTCTAAGTGATAATCAGTCAAATCACAGTACTTCATAACATCGAGGTAACAACCCTGTAAAACCAGAACTGACATAAGTTACAGTTTTCTCTCAGTGCTGCAGTTTGCATCTGTGGGCTGTCACGCTTTCATGTCATTCATATGTGTCTACTTGTCACGTGCTTTACTGCGAATGAGATTCAGCCAACCTGGTGGTTCAGCAGTGATACTGCAGTTAAACACAACCAGTGAATACAGAGGTGAGGACATGCAAATGTAGCCGATAAAGAACGTTTTAGCCAGCATGTAGGCTTCAGTATGTGACGTATCATCTACTATCTGATTCTCAAAGCTAGTTGAAGTTTTCCTCCATAATCCACATTTTTATGGTGACCATGTTTTGAATTTACCAAGCCAAGTGAGCTCTGTAGATTTTCATTTGAATTTTCCAGGTTGTTTACCCCCAGTTGTCCTTCTCATCTTCCAGCTATGGCGGTGTTGACAAAGTGCATATGTTTCTTCTAATGAGTGTTATTTCTGTTTGTCCTGTCTCTCCCTCTGTCTACCTCTCCCTCTCTGTCTGTACACACATAAAAACCCCAGGATATTTATCCGCCATTGACTTTGCCTTTCACTGAAACGCCTCAAGCCGAATATCCCAAATGTCAAAGTAGTGTGATATTTCCACTAGCATGTGACATTTCTTTAATTGAATGTAGATTGAAAACCCTCGGTAGGTAACATAGAGAATTAATGTCTAACATGTCTTGTTTGGCATCAGACATTTCATTTCATGCTCTCTTATTCTCACCTGAACAGCTTCAAGCGCTCATGCTTTCTCACCATCCAGTTTCAGATTGTAGTTAATACTGTAGGTATGTAGTTTACAGCGGTTAACGTGAAGGAGTAATCAAAAGTGTTTGGCTTCCCAAATACAGCTCAACATGAAAATTCATACATCTGCATAAAGGTCATTTTACTGATGGCTGAGACTGAAGGTGTTTTGATGTTTTACTTTTATCTTTTGAGTCCAGAAACTTTTCCACAGACAGTATTTGGAGCATGTGCGCCTTGCTCAAGAACTTAGCAGTTAGGGTGCTGGCCGTGATTCAGTTTATCTATAAAATCTGATCTTATGTTTCAGTTACGTTAAACCTGCAATATCACCATCATATGACCATTTTTTATTCATATTAATTGTGTGTAAAGGAAATATAAGATGCCTTTCATGAAAGGGTTGCATTTTGGAGACCAAACACTGAATTCTGGACTTACAGTCAGTAGTGAATTTGTAGTTGTTCTTACTGTGTGACTCCCTCATATGATCTGTTTATAACTGGTTCAAACTGAATCGGCAATTCATTCTTACTGTTTATTTGAGCTCACTTGGAGTACTAGTTGCATAGAATAATGCTATTTGCATCAGTAAGTTTAACACTATTAGTTTATTATACTTGTGCCAGTGTAACGCTTGAGTTTGGTGAAGATAATTAAAACAGTATTCTTCTGATAGCCTGGTTCCAGACGTCAGAACCACTACCCATATGTCTGGTGGCCCATTGATGGACCTGGCTGGAGACACGATTATTGGTTTCGTTGGCCACATTAAGAATAGCTAGCTAGCTGCCTAGCTAGATCCAAGTTGTTGTAAGTTGACTTGGATCAATGTATTTCTTTGATCAATGTGAAAAAAACATGAAGTAAACTTCTTCTAGCAGCTGCTGCCACAGCTTCTGTGTCAACTACAGCTGACAGGGATGAATATATCACTGCTGATACACAACAAAATAACCCTCCTACCTCCCACCTTTTATATGAAAGATTTATGTGAGAATCCCTTAAGGAAAATTTGTGATTACTAGAGAAATATAAACATGTTTTTTTTTTTTTTTTCTAAAACTCTGCCATGATTAATACAAGAAGGCAGAGTTCTAAAATGTTAAACATTGTCTAAAGCCCGCTCCTGTACTACCAGTGAGGCAAAAAACAGTTGCGAAGAGTCATTTGCAGATACTGTTTGACCAAAGATCTGCTCTGTCTTCTTTCTCCAGTGTGTCATGTAGAACATTATGCTTATTTCTACAAGCATAGGATGACTTCTCATCAGCTGTCCTCTTTTCTCTCCCTTTACGTCCTAACATCATAATGTTACTAACCATCCATCCCCCTCTCTATCTCTCTGTTTTTATGTCCCATCTCTTCCTCTTGTCCAACATCTCTGTCTTTCTCCCTCTTTCATTGTTCCTTCTCTTCTCTTTACAATCTGTCGTTATTTTTTCTTCATTTCTTTTCTTCTGCCATCCTACTTTTCTCTTTCCCCTCTCCATTTCCACTTCTTCCAACCCTGACGTACAACCTGCCCCGCTCTCTTTTTTCTCTCTCTCTCTCTCTCTCTCTTCCTCTCCCTTTCTCTCTCTCTCTCTCTTCCCCCTCCAGCGGGAGGATCTTACTTCATGATCAGCCGCTCTCTGGGTCCAGAGTTTGGGGGGGCGGTGGGCCTGTGTTTCTACTTGGGCACCACCTTCGCTGGAGCCATGTACATCCTGGGAGCCATCGAGATCCTTCTGGTGGGTTTTGGCTTCCTCATCATAATTATTACTTATCACCAGTATTTGTCTTTAACCACCATTATGTCTGTTATAATTTAGGCACTATTATCACCCTTTCTCCAGGGTTTAATAATTTTAGTTTTATATAGCAGCAGTGCTTAAGGTTAAAGATTTTCATGATTGATTGATGTGATATGATGCTGCTATAAAACCTAACGAATGAACTGTGTATTCCAGCTTCGTTGGACTTGAATAAATCTAGTCTATCTCCCTCCCTCCTCCAGATGTACATAGCACCTAAGGCAGCTATTTTTGAGTCAAAGTACCCTGATGGCGAAGGGGCGGCCATGTTGAACAACATGCGTGTCTACGGCTCCATTTGTCTCCTCCTGATGTCCTTGTTGGTCTTTGTGGGCGTGAAGTACGTCAACAAACTGGCCTCCATTTTCTTGGCCTGCGTCATCGTCTCCATTGTCTCCATCTACATCGGCGCGCTGGTCTCTGCCTTCAAACCACCAAATTTTTCGTAAGTGTTGATGACATTTTTCACAAAATACGCTGACCAATCGGTTAACTCTTCACGCTCTTGACTGACTGATGGTCCTTCTGTCTGCAGCGTGTGCATGCTGGGAAACAGAACCATCAACGGTCATGAAATTTATGACAGCCAGTGTGCAAAAACCATCCTGCAGCAGATCAAGGAGCCGGTGGAGAAAGATGATGTCAACTTTACAATTACTAATGGTGGGTAACAGAGGAAGATCAGTGATATTAGCCTGCTCTGTTTACATCCATTCCGTTTTTCTTGACATACCGTATCCATCCCAATAGAAAACAGCACTGTAGGCCCGACCTTTGACCCCACCCACGCTCCTGTTCTGGTGGAGAAGACCACATATCTTTGGAAACAGTTTTGCCATGGTCCAGACCTCAACTCCTCCTGTGATGAATACTTCATGTCCAACAACTTTTCAGAGATTGAAGGGATCCCCGGTCTGGCCAGTGGGATCATTTCAGGTTTGTGTGTGTGTGTGTGTGTGTGTGTGTGTGTGTGTGTGTGTGTGTGTGTGTGTGTGTGTGTGTGTGTGTGTGAGAGAGATGGAGTGTGTGGTTAGGCATGTGAGAATACAATGATCATTACCTTTTTTTCAATGAAAACTCCAATTCATATGGTTGCATTGATCCACTGTGCACAACTAAGTTTCCCCTCCTATAAAACAATTAGACTAAACAAATTTACTTTCAATTCAACTAATAAACTCAATGTTAATATGCATATTAACATTAACATTAACATTAACATGCTGGGTTAGTATATAGACATCAGAGTGGTTACTTCTCATCTAACTCTCAGCAAGAAAGCCAAAGGCTGTTTCTCTTAATGTTGAACTATTCTTTTAACTCAAAGTTGGTGCTTTTTCTCATTTAGCTACATATGAAAACAACATGGTTTTGGCTTAGCTGAGAATGTAGTGAAGGTATCCCCTCAAAGGGGACGTCAGTGCAAACCCAGACGTACCTGCCGACAAGCACACGACTGTACATGCCATGCTGCAGAATAGTATCTGTGACTCAAGACTCAGTTTATGAGGATGAACAATAATAACTTCACACTCTTGCTAACTAGCACATGTTGAATGTCGACCTCACAGAGAACGTGTGGAGCTCGTACCTCAGCAAAGGGGATGTGGTGGAGAAAGGCTCCCTCAACTCGTCTCACTTTGCACATCCGGCATCCACGCACCAACCCTATGTGTTTGCTGACATCACCACCTCCTTCACACTGCTGGTGGGCATCTTCTTCCCCTCTGTCACAGGTACACACTTGTTTCTCACTCGTGCTCAAATGCCAAACCTGCTGTGTTAACTCAAAAGAATGAGCGTATAAGAAGTGTAAACTTTATTCTTACCATCATTGTTTGTTGGCAGTAGGTGTGATATTAAGTCGCCCTTGGAGCAGCTGCTATTTCAGGATCAAGTGCATCATGTCTTTGCCATGACTCTTATTCTGAAACTCAGGTCTATGCAATTCAGAAGAACATTGTCACATGTATTTTAGTGAACAGAACCTCTCAGCACTCAAAAGATCCTTTTGAAAAAAGCATAATATTCATATAACATAAAGAGTTTCTTAGCCTCTCTAAATCTATATATGATAATGATAATAATGCATCAAAGTTATAGTACTTGTAATTCTCATAACAATAATAATTATTATTTTCCTCTTTTCCTCAGGAATCATGGCTGGTTCGAACCGGTCGGGGGATCTGAAAGACGCCCAGCGCTCAATCCCCATCGGAACCATCCTCGCCATCCTCACCACTTCTATCGTCTGTATCCTTCTATGATATGTTTTGATTCAATATCCAGGCACTCAAAGTCAGAAAATAACTCGGAGCACCATTCACACATTTTTTGTCTCAAGTGAATTGGAATCACAACGCAGTGCAGCACAGCTCTCCAGAGGATTTCTAAACAAATACCATCCTCTCTCTGCAGCTCAACAATGAGGTGTTGAGGCAAAATGCTGTTTTGATGGTGTGAAATAACTGAACGCTTCTTATATTTCAAGATAATTAGGCAGTTTTTAGTCCGCTTTTCTCTTTTGACTTTGTGATTTGCCGTGTAATTATCTATTTCAGTTTTTATGCATCATTTTGTGATTGCCACTTTAGCCGAACTGATTGCTTCTTTCATGGTACTGTCGAAAAGGCAATTGGGATATGTTTGATTTAATCTGTTGCTGGATGTTGTTTTCCTGAGTGTCGTCCATCCAGACCTGAGCAGCGTTGTTTTGTTTGGAGCTTGCATCGACGGGGTGGTCCTCAGAGACAAGTCAGTACATCTGCTCTTGTATCTGTGTGTATATATGTGTCATGTCCTGTTATATGTGAAAAGGAGATTGTATTTCATTGTGCCTGCTCTGTTGAAAAAGAGTAGCTGTAATATTTTTGTCCACTGCTATAAACACTCAAAATACTTGATGTATTTTTTTTGCTTCCTGCAGATTTGGTGACTCAGTGAAAGGAAATCTAGTGGTGGGGACTCTGGCTTGGCCGACTCCCTGGGTCATTGTGATTGGATCTTTCTTCTCAACGTGTGGCGCAGGCCTCCAGTCGCTGACCGGCGCTCCCCGACTCCTGCAGGCCATCGCCAAGGACAACATCATCCCCTTCCTCCGGGTTTGAGCTGCAAATATTCATTTTAATTACAGGGACCCAAAACATAATAGTACACTAAGTGTCTCCTTAGCAAACGCAACAACCCACAACTAGATTATAACTGTGTCTGCTTTCAACTAAAAGTGCGAATGAAAGGAAAACACAGGGGCAGGGTGAGGAAAGGTCAGACAGTTAACCTCTTCTCTGCAGTTAACTTAATGTTTCAGTTCAAAGCTGTTACCTTTTACCTGTATTTTCTGTTCCTCAGTGGCAGTTAATTTGCTTTACTCAAACTGTCACATTGTTCGTATTGCTGTATAATAACAGGGACAGCTTAGACAATCCTCAGACAGACAGTTAGCAAGGGAATTTTAAGGAGAAAACTCTTTTTGTTAGTCTGTATGGTCTGTTACCATGTTGTTATGTTTGGACAAAGTTGGGTAAACTGTCCCTTTTAATACAGTTTCACTATGATTGACTTGGTGCCTTTGCACAGATGTTCACTGTTTTTCTTTTGTGTGTGTTTCATCCAGGTGTTTGGTCATGGGAAGGCTAACGGGGAGCCCACCTGGGCCCTGCTGCTGACTGCCCTGATTGCTGAGCTGGGGATTCTCATCGCCTCTCTGGACCTGGTGGCTCCCATCCTTACAATGTGAGACACAGCTGTGTGTGTGTGTGTGTGTGTGTATATCTCACTCCTAAGTATCTCACACTTGTGTTACTAATGTGATTGATTAATTTTCTCTCCATGCAGGTTTTTCCTGATGTGTTATCTGTTTGTAAACCTGGCCTGTGCCCTCCAAACCCTCCTGAGGACACCCAACTGGAGACCGCGCTTTTCCTACTACCACTGGTACTACCAAACACACCCATACAGCCCCACATACACACACACACATAAACACACACTGACCTGTGCCTCTCGTGCTCATCTGTGTCCAGGACCTTGTCATTTTTGGGGATGATTATCTGCCTGGCGCTCATGTTCATATCCTCTTGGTACTACGCAATCGTTGCCATGGTGATCGCAGGCATGATCTACAAATACATTGAGTATCACGGGTATGTTGCCATGGAGATGTATCTCACCCCACATTTTTTTACATGTACAACATGGTCAAGAATAGTGTGTGCAAAAGTGTGTGTTTTGTGTTCTTAGTTTATTTCCAGTTTGAATCCTCTTTGTCTTTGAGCTTGTTTGTCAGTGGAGGTCACAGAATACACATTACATATCACAGAATGTATCGTCATATCCTTATATATATTCCATGTATACATGTGTGTATCAGAGCGGAGAAAGAGTGGGGGGATGGGATCCGTGGTCTCTCACTCAGCGCTGCCCGTTATGCCCTCCTGAGGTTGGAGGAGGGACCACCGCACACCAAAAACTGGAGGTAATCAACTGTGACGTGAAAACTTTAGTTTCATTTATTCTCTCACTTTTTTTTATAACCTGTCACATACGTTATTATAACTCAGTTTAAGTTATAGCCTTCATCAACTGAAGCAGACATTTTGCACTACATTTTTTTGTTGCAAACTTCAGACAGTAGACACTGTAATGACTACAGATTATTATTTTTATTACAAAACAATTTCATCAATGGTCCATAGCTATTCTGGAGCCTTCATCATGTCTCACAGTCCTCAGAAGATGGAGTTTGTAGATGTTCAAATTTCCATTTCTCTGAGCACTTTAAGGATTCCTCGTCCATGTTAGCTTAAAGGTTGAGAATAAAAGTTGAACTTCTGTTAGCTGCTGTTTCCAAGATCGAGAATGAACTATAAACGTTCTAAAAAGAGTGATGTATTCCAGTGGAGCCGCATTGGTGTAGTCAAAGATTCACAAGATAAAAATACAAAAGAAGTGATAAGGTTCACTTTTGATAATATAGTGAAAGACTCTTCAGTATGTAAACCATAATGTCCTCTTAGAATGTGTGGGAGAACCTGTTCATAGAAAACGCTCTGCTTCATCTCTCCTCCAGGCCTCAGCTGTTAGTGTTACTAAAACTGGACGAAGACGCCCACGTCAAGTCTCCTCGTCTACTGACGTTTGCCAGCCAGCTGAAGGCGGGAAAGGGCCTGACCATCGTTGGCACTGTTGTCTCTGGCAACTTCCTACAGAGCTATGGAGAGGCCCTCGCCGCTGAACAGGTGGGAAATTATCTTTACAGGGTTTCAGTGGTCACAAAACATGATAGAAAGCAGATTTTCATCAGCTATTTAACTTCATAATCTCACAGCCTTATTTCCCCTGTTTCAGACTCTAAAGCACCTGATGGATAAGGAGCGTGTGAAGGGCTTCTGTCAGTGCATCGTGGCTCAGAAGCCACGTGAAGGCATTAGCCACATGATCCAGTCCAGCGGCCTGGGAGGAATGAAGCCCAACACTGTGGTGATGGGCTGGCCTCACGCCTGGAGGCAGAGCGAGGACCCACAGGCCTGGAAAACCTTCATCAGTGAGTCGAAGACGGGCAAATTTGTCTCCTAAGTTTGAAGATAAGCGGGAAAATGCACAGAGGCTCTTTTTCTCTTCCTGATCTAATGATGTCAGAGTTACGAGGCTAACAGCGCCCCCTCTCTTCCTTCCAGACACAGTGCGGGTGACCACAGCAGCCCACCTGGCCCTGCTGGTGCCCAAAAACATCTCTCTGTTCCCCAGCAATAGTGAACCCTGCGCAGAGGGCTACATCGACGTCTGGTGGATTGTGCATGACGGGGGGATGCTGATGTTGCTGCCCTTCCTCTTGCGCCAGCATAAGGTAGCTTTCTACATTTTTAAACTGTCTTTTCTACATTGAGAATATTGCTGCACCTCCAACTGCTTTGTCCGGCTCTTCCCCCCTCCTCAGGTGTGGCGTAAATGTGGGATGCGAATCTTCACAGTGGCTCAGATGGAGGATAATTCGATCCAGATGAAAAAGGACCTGGCAACCTTCCTCTATCACCTACGCATTGAGGCTGAGGTGGAAGTAGTTGAGATGGTACGCTGCTCGCTGTACTGGCTGCCATTTATCAGGATTTGTGCATTTTCACTGAAGTGGATTGAATTGTGTTTCATGTGAGGCAATAAACTCGGGGCTCCCACATGTTGTAATATTACGATTATAAATCACCTCAGCACCTTTAAACTTTGAAATTATCTTATTACACTCTCTGTCATATATATTATGTATCAGCTTCTTCCGGCATCACATTTAAACTATATGCTGTTTACACTGAGCGAAACACTCAAACCCAAGACTCAAGCTGTGTCCCAATTCAGGGGCCACAAAGGTGTGGCCCTTCGTAGCCATTGTAGACCTATAAGGCCGAAATTTTACTGTCCCGCATATGGATTTTCAGTTTGCGTCACCAGCTGTGCTTTTGTGTTTTACAAAAACTTTTTTAAGGCCCTTGGTTTTAATAGCTGTACCATTAGCTGTTGAACTGAGCTGAAGTCCAATACCTACATGTAAAAGTATAATCCTCTGACCGTCTGTCGGGGTTGTTTGCTGCCATATACTTTTCATTAGCACGTGCAATGAATCTTGGGATAGATTGGGGCCACGAACGATCCACCCGTTGGCTCTTGAAACGGGACAGCCTTGTCATGCTGCTGTGACGCCGTCGGTGTTCAAATGCAGCCTCCGATGGATGCGGCCCCTGAATTGGGACACAGCTTCCGTCTTTTTATAGCTGCACCATTCCACCGAGTGGAAATTTTCAGCATGTTTTGTGCATCATTTATGCACATTTTGTGCATAAATGATGCACAAAACTTTTTTGATATATTTGGAAACTCAGGGCGTCCCTTTAGAAGTTTGAACAGTGCTTGGCTGCACAGCTTGAGCAGGACTGTTGAGCAGTACAAGAGTACAACAATGCTTATCTCTACACAACTGTTCTCTCGTTTCTTTTTTCACTTCTTCTCTCAGCATGACAGTGATATCAGTGCGTACACGTATGAAAGGACCCTGATGATGGAGCAGAGGTCTCAGATGCTCCGACAGATGCGACTCTCGAAATCAGACCGGGAAAGAGAGGTAAGATTAGGTCCAATGTGGAGATTGTTGTGCATTTAATTTAAAAAGGTTGTAGATTTGCATATGACAGCCAGGACATGTCCTTAAATTGTCTCCACTAGTCATTTAAACAACATCAAATGACTTTGATTTTTAACACTACTATTCATATGATCTGGCAACCATCTGCGTGACTGGGAGTTGTTTTGTTTTGTTTTGTTTTTCTTTTCTTTGTTCTTTTGTATCATTCCCGGTGATGGGTCGGAAGTGGTGGAAGTGATTGGACTTGGGTCATTATAAGCATGAACATGGGTTGTATGCACGATTAGCTACAACACGCTCATATCTGATCTGTCTGTGAATGTCGTGCATCATTTTATCAGGGAAACCCTGGTAGCAGCAGCAGTAGGCCAGAGGCAGGTGGAGCTACAAGGTCTCAGGTGAGGTCAGTGGTTATGGCCAGCTGTAAGTTCATCTATTTCTACAAAATATAAACTGTACAGGATGCTGTTGAGGCAGTTAGAAGATACAGTAGCTCACAGATAGTTACACATTTTAATCTGTTGGACACTTCCAGTTATTTTTTCTTATTTCTTATTTAAAAAGCATTTTTTAGCTAATGTGGAATCTCTCAAAATTAAATGAGTAAATATTAAAATATTGGAAAAAATGAAAAAAAAGCCCTTTTCTGGGGCAAATTATAGCAGCAGCTGTAAAGCTGCTTTATGATACAGATATTCACAGATGTTGGCAAAAATGATCAAATTTAAAAAAATACTCCTGCAAATGTTAAAACCAAGGCTATACCAGTGTGTGTCTTAAAAAGCATTGAATTCCTTCTGGTAAGAGTATGGGATAAATTTCCTTTTTCAGATTCTACATTTTCTAAAACTTTGATATTTGTTCTAGTGAATGTCAGTCTGAAGCTGTTAAAGAGTTTGACCACAATCATTTCTTAAACTTAAAGCCAGTTGAGAAATAACACAGTGGATGAGGTCTGGAATCTGTAGCTGTCCCTGTATGAGCAAACTGACAATATAAATATTAAGGTCAATGCATTGGCTTTGAGATCATCATTTCCTTGCATGCTTTCCACATAAAGAATTATATTTAGAGTCTGACTTGAGGTGAAGAGGACATTATCAAAGATATACATTTTGTGGGTTGCAGTACTTTAGATGCTATTGAAAATGGCAAAATGAATCTATAAGACAGTGACTTGTTACAGGATCAGAAAAGGTAGGATATTGATATAAAAATGAGTCAAAAGGCCAAGTATTGGATATGCAACAGTACGTTCAAGGACACAAGAAATTAATTTTTCATTGTAAAACAATCTGAGCAGCATCTCACATTCAGCTTTACTATTAAAGTTCATGTTGTTTCCTTTTGTCACTGGTCTCCTCAGCGGGTACGCTGGAGTTTTGATGATGTAAGTTTACTGGTTACACAGTAGTGAAGCATCATCTGTCTGATGTAGAGCAAGTGAGACGTAGTGGTCATTCTGGACACACTGTTGCAGCAAAGAGGTTTTCTTGATCACACAGTCTGGATCAGCGACGCCTCTGAGCTTCTACGAGTGCAGTTGAATCCTTCAGAAAAAGACATAAAGCAGTGAATGTGAATTTGTGTTGTCAGTCCTGATCATTTTGAAAATCAGAGGAATGTATTTTCTCGAAATACCACAGGAGAATAAATTAGAGAGAAATAACAACTTGGCCCATAAATTGGCCAGTCCGACTTACTGAAAGATATTATCTTATTGTAGGTAAATTGTGATTGGTTGACATGTCGGACAATAAATGACAAGAAATTGCTATAAATTGATGAGGTAATTTATTACAAAGTTTGTCCACCACAGAGCTCTGACAAGTTGATTTTAACACTGAAAAATGTCCCACGCAGTATGTTTTGGTCACACAAACCCTCCTGAAATATAAGGACTCCAACTCAAGATTGTTTGTGTTTAAAGAAGAAAACAATCAGCTGATGTAAAATCACAGATATTTATATCAGTATCAGCCAAATATCCAATAACATTCGAGCTATAATCACGTATTAGATCTCATATTTATGACCCTTAGCTTTAAATGATGAGATTCCAAATCAGCTTTCATCTTTAAATTTCAGCTGTTCTTTATGTTGTTTATCTGAAGGAGTCAATTAAAAGTTCTGGAGTTTGTCCAGATCAATATAATGACTTACTAAATGCTGACCTGGGTCAAATGTGCTTTTAACAATCAAAAACATCAGAGCAGTAAATAAATTTCTGTCCACTCTCATTCCACTCTTTCATTTTTATGTCACCTTTTCTTTTCCCTCCTCCATTCACCCCTCTTTGACTCTTTTCATCGCTCATTTCTGAATCTCAGGCGCCGTTTGACTCAGGTCTTGCTGTTCATTAAATTCAGCACTAACGCTGTCGTGTCCCTGTAGTTATCCCCCAGAGCTTCTACTAGAGTAGACTGGCCTTTTGTTTAGTATTAGCAAGTTAGGTGACTTTGTGTTGTCTGTAGGTGTATCTTTCCCCCAGGTACAGGAGTACTGGAGTCTCATCAAACAGCTGCAAAGGAAACAGAGCAAGACAGGTACAGGTACAAAGAGGCAGAGAGAGAGAGAGAGGGAGAGAGAGAGATAGGAGTAAGGAGTGATGTAGAAGAGGGAGGTAGGAATAAGGTAGAAAAAAAGGTTGAAACGGTGATGAGATGAGAAAGAACATGTTTGTTTCTGTCCGTCTACCACACCAGGCTCAGCTGGTGAAGGATCGTAACTCCATGCTGCGTCTGACGAGCATCGGATCAGACGACGACGACGACACCGATGCCGGGGAGCGAGACAGGGTGGTGAGCAGCGGCGGAGGGGGCAGCTCCGAACACCACCGTCGAGTTCAGATGACCTGGACCAAAGAGAAGACCTCGCAGTACAGAGCCACACACTCCGGCTGCTCCACACCCGAGGGCTTCAGAGACATGCTCAGCATCAGGCCGTGAGTGGAAATACGATGTTCACAAGGAGGGAACGTTTCCCTCTGGAAAAGTCACAGCACAGTAGTTAAATAAACAAGGTGTTTAATGTACCTTATTGTCTTTCAGGGACCACTCTAACGTCAGGCGGATGCACACTGCCGTCAAACTCAACGAGGTCATTGTCAACAAATCCCATGATGCCCGACTTGTCCTGCTCAACATGCCAGGACCGCCCAGGAACCCAGACGGAGACGAGAACTGTATCCTTATCACCAACGGTGGCAAATGACATTTAGTGGCTCTTTCTGTCAGAGTTCACAAACTGTTTAATCTTCAACAATGCCAGTGGGACAGTGTGACATTACAAAAGTTTTTGTAGATAATTTGTAGGAAATGTAGATATTGTAGATAGCTTCTATAATATATAGAAGAATATAGAAAGCTCATTTGCAGCTGGTTTTACTTGAACAGCATTAAATCGATGCAGATTTCTTTCTTTAGCCAGCGACCATCAATTTTGCCAGCTGAAGTGACAGCTGTCAGATTTTATTAGCTGCAGCTAGCCTGCTAGCATTGAATCGGTTGAAAACTCCATGTCTGGTTGACAAAAGGGGTCTTAAATACGCACTTGATGGCCACACACATGATACTATGCTGAAGGCGCCTGACTGAGGCTGTTGACGGGTCCATATGAAAGACAAGGAAAGAAAGCTGCAGCACTGCTCTTGTATTTCAGTGTAGACCTAGAAGTATAATGAAGAAAAATGTTAAATCAGGAGTTTCATTCTTTCATAACCCTGATTGGCTGCTTAATTTGCACACTTACAAGTATTTTCAAACTGTGTCACTTTCAACTTGACAGGAGAAAAGGCTTTTAGGATGAGGTCTCACCACTTTGTTTGCTGTCTTGGATAATAAGTTTGGCTGGGCTTGTTGGGAGTGTCATCTTCCCCAAATGCCACAAAGAGCAGGACAGAGCCGCTCTTGTTACTCTAAACTCTGATGGCATCCAGAAGCATTGAGGAAGAAAGGTTCATGGTAGGCGGGGACAACAAACACTTGAAATCTTTATACAGACCAAAAGACAGAGAAAATGATCAGTGCTGCAGCTTTTTTATGTCTATTATTTGATCCGTCGTTTAAAAAACTCAGCGAATGGTGAAAACTGCCATCCATAATTACCAGGAGCCAAATGTTCTGAAGATATTCAAGTTATAAAATGTATCTTTATGGAAAACAATCAGTTGTTACGTTCAAATAACAGTTTTAAAAGACACATGGTGGCCAATCAGAAAGCATGTATGTGATATTTTCAGTGCTCGGTGCGAAAATGTTCCTTGACTCGTTGTGTAGACATGGAGTTCCTCGAAGTTTTAACAGAAGGACTGGAGCGTGTCCTGTTGGTGAGAGGTGGAGGAAGTGAAGTCATCACTATCTACTCCTGAATGGACAAAACGGAGGAAGCCAGTGGTAAAGAAGCAGCCAGTCGCGCAGAAGTGAGCGAAGGGAGACGGAGGGGCCTGTGAGCTCTGGGGATGTGGGCCCAAAAAGAGAGACTGTCATTGGCTGCAGCGTCAGTCTTCACGCCCAACACCCCACCCAGCCCTTTTCCTTTCATGTTTTACACTTTTCTGTCACGACAAGGGTTTCCATTCTACTTCTGTCGAGCTACAGAAATGCCAACACAATTCCACGAATGAGCAAAAAAAGAAAAAAAAAAAACAAGTGTGTGTGTGTTTGTGTGTGTATATGAAAGTTATCCATCTGAAGAAGGTTTGGTTTATCGGTGAAGGGACCAGCATTGTGTTAAGAGCGAGAGTGTTAGGGCCGTGGACCACTGAATGAAAAAACGTAGAGCGCGAGAGGCTGTGAAGCGTCCCAGAACGGAGCAGTCTTTGCACTGACGAGACTCAGGGTTGCTTTTTGTACAGAATGTATTTTGGAAGCAGATGTGTGTTAGCCTGAATGTCTGAATCAAGTGTTTTTGTTGTTTTCTTTTCTCCTTGAAAACATCTAAAAGTTTATTCCAGTGCTTCATGAAAACTGGTTAAGTAACACTGCATCAAGAGAGTGTGGAGTCCATCTTAGTACTGCACATGAGGAATATCAGTGTGCTTTTGTGCCATCTCCTTACTTGAAAGTGTAACATGTTTAAGGAGATGAAAGGAAGAAATGGTTATCAGTTGCACATCAATACTGGCCTCTTTTGATATCCACCATATCCAATAGTATTTGCACAAACCTCAAAATTTGTTTTATCCACAGTGAAGTTCAAAGTGGAGTAACACGGAATTATTATTCTGGTTATTGTGTGTGTTCGTATGAACCTGCTGCTATTTCTCACAATCTACTCTCGTATAGGAAACCATTTCTGCCAGGAAAGAAAAAGAAAGTTAAACAGTTAGTTATGATGAGCACAAAACTGCTCATGGAGAGTGAAAATATGGATAGTGTGTCTTAATTTATTGGATACTTTTTTTTTTTTTTTTGTCAAATTTTTTTGAGTCAAAATTAAAAGATGCAAATTATTGAATCATAATTTAAAAATTTGTCAAACTTGAAATCAAAACTGACCTACTTAATTTACAAGACATGTCAAAATTGGATTAAAAAAGTTTTTTTTTCCAATTTTTGTCAAAATTATGAAATAAAAATTTCAAATTATAGTTGAAATGAGATTAAAAAAAGATTAAAATTAAGATTTTGCACATCTTATGATATAAGTCATCATTAGGAGATAAATAAAAATTCTGTTAAGTTAAAATTGTGAGCTACTAAGTCAAAATTATTTGATAAACAGTCAAAATTCTTACTTCAAGTCAAAATGATATGATGACGTTATCTCTTAATTTTGATTTTGGAGTATAAATTGTATTTTATTTTATTTTTCCATTATTTTATTTATTTTTTATTTTTTGTCTTAGCAGAAGTGGGCTTCCATACATTATACATACATATTGTGATGAAAACAAATGACAGAAATTATGTACAATTGCCACCTGACACATATCTTCAGCAGTCCGCTCTGCTCATACGTGTTGTCAGCTGTTAGATGGATATAGCTTGGTTCCTTAAATCAAGAGGGGGGCTGTCTTTATGCAACACATTTATGGATTTGTCAACATCAACCGAGATCCCAGGAAAACGCATCAAATGAACTAAACCAATGTAAAGGAAGTTATCAGAGGTTTCTCTGTGTTGTGCCATAAACCGGCCCACATTGGACTGCATGTGAATAGTTAGTAAGTTAAAGTAGACGGTAGAGTGTGTTTAAAGAAGCGAGGTCAGACTTTGCGGTTGTTGTTGTTGTTGTTGTTGTTGTGAAGGCCTTGGAAAGGGAAGAATTTGGAAAGTATTGTTGACACACTGGACCATCGTGGAGAGGACCACTGCACTGCATGCTGTCAAAATGTCATCTTCACTCAGAGAGAAGTGTTTATGTATATGTGTGTGCGCAGCATGGATGATACGTGTTCATTTAACAGAGCAAAATAGTGTTCTCCATTCCTTCTAATGAGAAAATCTGCTACGCTGTGTAGCACAAGCTTGTGCCCTGAAACTCTCCACTTCACCATACACCTGAAATCCACCTGCTGACATCCTGCTTTGTCTGTGTTTATGTGTGTCTGAAAGAGCGTGTGTGAACGTGAGCTTGTTGCTAAAGTAAGGAGCTGTAAACTAGAGGTGTTTGATTCCACTCTAATGCTTTGTTCTTTTTATTTTTTACAGTGTTATTGTGCAGGGATTCTTTCATGTTCATTGTTATTTCCTAAACATTGTTTTCTTGCTTGTACATAAAGACAAAAAAAGATCCCAAGTTTTATCTTTTTTTAATTACATTAATATAAAAAGGAATCATAAAAAACTTTGCTTGAAAAAACATGGGAATAAATAAAGCAATTTTGAAAGAAAAGTTACAAGTTTGTCTTTTTTAGCTGATATTGGTATTGGATGGTATGGATGGTATTATAATTTGTTAAAACTTTTTTTTTTTGGTAATATTTTTGTCTTTTTTTCTGTTTTTTGGAGGGCTGCCACTAACACTCAACATGTTGATTACTTTTTGAACAATTGTTTAGTCTAAAAATCATCATTCAAATTTATTGTTATGTGCACAAAGCAAGAGCTAAAATTTTGTATACATAAAGTGAAAAAAGCTGCCAAATTTAGCTGCCTTTTATTTTGGAAGTCATATTTTGCGTGATGAGGTCACTTCCACTTGTACGTACAATTCGGAAGCCGGTGCCATGTTGTGATATTTGAGGAAATCAGTTCTGGGCGAAGTTCACTAACAAAAAGTGGGATAAAAACAAAACATTTATCAGATTTCGGGGGTGAGCATGGAGGTAAGAGTAGTTGGCATTAGAAACGTTAGACTTAATAAAAGAATCACCTTTGTCTTCGTATGTGACGATCAACTACAACACGATCTTTGGTTGTCACAAACACACCAGTGTTGGTACGAGCGGCCGAACCTTTATTATCCCATTTTAAAATGTATTTCTTCAACTTTACCTATTCTATTTTCCCCTTGAGAGACAGCTAATCCTACACACCTGGGATTTGGTGTGAAGTTAATATTAATATGCTGGTGTAAAGTATTTAAAGCTGCCACCCGGAACTGAAACAACTTGTTGAATATCTGCCCACAAATTGTAAGTTTTTTCCTTTAATTGGTAAATTTAAATCTTTGGAAATGTTACTAACTGCATTTCAGACACGAACATGTTTGTGAGAAGCTACATTAACCAAATATAGTTAACCCCTTTGTCGGCAAGCTAATGAGAGGCGACTTCCTGTCATAGCTTTCAGAATAAAATCCTGAATAATAGAACTTTTTATTGACAATAAAAAAAAAAAAAAGTTCTCTTGAATTTGGGTATTAAGAGGTTGTACAGAAAGTTAGAAATATATCGATAATGAAGGCAATTGTTAGCTGCAGTCCTATTAATAAGTAATAATTCTGAACCACACAAATCCAATTAAGTTGCATTGAAGTTGTGACAAGAAAAACAATGTAAAACTGGAGTGTAAAAAAAATCAAACAAACATAAAACACGAAGACAGAATTACGATTATGAATACTGGACTATAATACATTTAATTTTTAGTCTGTAATTGACTAACAGTGACATTAATTGATTTTTTTTAAAAATTAGTTTCTGGATCACCTCAAACACATTGTCACATTTCTCACTTACTGGTCAACATATACACCAATATCTGTGATAAGTTGAAACTGTCTAATATTGTCGATCTTGCTGATGGGCTGTAGTAATGAATGGCCTCAGGGCCCTAGAGCCCTCAGAAACCTCAGGCTGCAAATCAATAGTAATTTAGTAATTTGACTGCAGACCATTTAGGTAAATTACAGCAATTAAATACAATACCAACTAAAGTTTGTTAAGGTTATTATCTTATATTTAAGGCAAGTTTTGTAGAAGGACCTTTTGTCTAAATCTAGGTGTAACATTTTAGTTCATAGTACTCCCATAGTGTATTCCTAAATATGTATTAACCCGAAATCAGAATAGTGTATAAATAGTACTCTAACCTCATAAATCATAACATTTTGTCCCTCATTTGGTCTTGAGAGGTCAAGGCAGGATTAACAACCACACAAAACAGCCAGTTGCTCAGGGGGTCCAGACTCGTAGAGACCCCCAAGTCTTATGTTTACTTCATAACATTTAGGTTTACATAATTTGATTGTTAAAGTCTAGCTTAAAGAGCTTTTTTGTTTTAGTTTATATTGTTTATTACAGTATATATTTAGTTTACATTGTGCAGTTTTATTTAAGTTTTTTAATCTTGTTGTTTTATTTTTTCTGTATGTTAAATAATTAACATTCAGAAAACCTTGGGCAAGGTCAAATTATTCCATCATAGGTGAACTGTGAGGCTACAACCAGCAATTACTTTCATTATCAATAGGACCAACAGTTATTTTATTTAACAATCAGTTGATTGTTCAGTGTATAGAATGTCAGAACAACAAAGTGAAAAATGTGTTTTTTCATCTCTAGACTACTGGTTTCTTTTTGAGTGCCTTGGGAAATACTGAAACTGCCTTGTGTAGTGGGGGTCAATACAGGGGCCCAAAAACAAACTTTTGCCCCAGTGCCCGCTAGGCATGTAAGGATTATGAGACAATGGGCCCTTGGCCACAGGCAAGTTAAATTTCACCCACCCCTCTAACATTGGAGCAAGACCGCCACACTGAAAGTTGTTGTCATTTCCTGTCTCTTGAAGTCGTTGTGTGACTTTTTGTGGTCATTTTGAGTATTTTGTGGTTATTTTGAGTCTATGTTTGGTCATTTTGTGCTTCTTGTGTTGTGGGTTGTGGGTGTTTGCAGTATCTGTGGGTATTCAGAGAATCTTTGAAGGTGATTTGCATCTCTTTGTAGTCATTTTCAATCTCTTTATATTTGTTTTGAGCATTTGGTGGTCATTTTGTGTCTCCTTGTAGGTGTTTGATTCTCTTTGCGGTTATTCTCAGTCTCTTTGAGAGTGTTTGTGCCTTTTTTAAATCATTTTTTGTCTCTTTGTAGTTGTTTTGAGTCTCTTTGTGGTCACTTTCTGTCTCTTTATAGTCAGTATAGCATAATTTTGTAGTCGCTCAATTGACTTTCCAACAAGAGATATAAGTATCAGAGGCTCGAATATAAGGGACACCTGGCCACTTGGGCCCTTGGGCCTATGTCTTTTTGGCTCATTCAGTAATCCATCCATGTCCTAATCCGGGCATGGTATGGGTAGCAAATATTTTGCTGTTTTTGCATCTGAAGAATAAAATCGATTTTTTTTTTCGTAACTTAGCCTTTTGATTTTATTTTGAAAATCGTATCGCTCAACATCCGGTGATGGCGTCGTTTACTTGACCCCTCACCACTTTATCCTGTCCGTGATCCGTGTCTCGGGATCCACTGAGCAGCCTGGCCCGGGCCAACACGAAGCAAAGGCAGGGGGGTTCGGTCTGTCTTCCGTCGCTGTCAGACACCTTGAAACGATCATTTTCGCTTTCCAGACCTCCGGGTCAGCATCAACAGCTCGTCCGTTAAAATTCCCTTTACTATGTCTGCTCGCTCCGAATGAGACGTTTAAGACCGGCAGACAAACGGGCGCCAGGCTGGCGGTTAAGTGAGGAGTACCGCAGCCTTGCGTCAAAGCCAGCTAAAGCTAAACCGTGTTAGGACAAGTCAGCAAGAAAGACGGGTAACAGCCACGTTACCTCGGTAGCTAGCCAGCCAGCCAGCCAGCGGACAGGTTATTTTTGGCACGGTTGCTGGCGTGCACATGCTTCGCTTCAGTCGTGTGAGCTAGCCCAACATCTGTCCGAAATCTGTCGGCGTTGGCGGTTTCATTAGAAATAGAGTTAACATTGACACGGTATCTGGACTTGGCATTTCCACTAAATAGCTACATGAAGAAACCACACATTTTCAAGCCAAAGTAAAGCTAGAAATTGTCGGTTAATTGCGTAACATCTTGTTGAATTGAAGAGGGGCCCCAATAGCTAACATATGAGGCCCAGCTGAAAAGATGGACCTGAATTTTTATTCGGATTTAACGGATGGTACCGGGCAGCACGACGGTGATCCGGAGTTCTTGGATCCACAGTCTTTCAATGGATTTGACTCTGACAACAAGGTGACTCTACCTTATGAATGGGGCTCATGTCTGTCACCACCAGACAGGCACAATGTCACTTCTTTGCATTGCCTGTATTGTATTGATCTAACTTACAGCTGCCACTGAACGCATCTCAGTGTGCAGACATTACCTGTTTGAGTTTAATGGACACTGCTGGTTGCTTGGTTGGTTTTTGTTGAATGGTAATATCCTTGTTAATTCTGGTTTTGGACAATAAGGTGGGAAATACTAGAATAACTCTTTTCCTGACTTGTCCAACCTGAATGTTTCAGTTCCCTGGAGGCAGTGACAACTACCTGACAATTTCAGGGTCCGGTCATCCCTTCCTCTCCTCTTCAGAGGTAGGCCTTTACACCTTTTAATTATGTGGCATTCAGTGTCTTGTTAAAAGATATGGGGCCCCCTCCTGCGGACATATGCTTTGGCTTACAATCAGTGATAATTATTTAACTGCAGGCACATGACTCCCAGTTTTGAAGCATAAAGTTGGCGATATACTGTGTTTTTGTTCACTACCATCATTTTATCATTTATAAATTCTTTGTAATGTGTAAATCATGAAAGCCAAAGGCTGTGTATGATCTATTTTAACCTCAACTCCATGAATTGATGTACAATCAGTTGTATTGTTGCAGTTTCCAGCCACAAATGAGAAATAAGACATTTGTAATCCACTTCAACATGCACTTACTGACATACTCACATTTTTTAGTGTGCCACTAAACCCATTGACCTCTTCAACCTCGCTGGATCTGCTGGTGGAGTATGAACTGTTTATCAATACATTTATTTTTTCACACACCTGCTGAATAAATTCAGACGTCTATTAATAAAGTTTTTGGGAATGTTCTACTTTCCCAGATCTGTGTTTTCCAGTTCATTTACTGAAAACTTTATTCATAATTTCCTAAAAATTAGCTGGTATTTAGCTGTTAATTGCTAGAATATTTCCATGAAAGGCCTACACAGTTTGGTACTAATTAGAAAGGGAAATTAGTTCCAAACTGTGACAGCCTTTCTTGGAAATATTCTAGTAGCTAAATACCAGCTAATTTTTATGAGGGAAACTTCCAGGAAATGAACTAGAAAATACAGAACTTGTAAAATGAACGGTTACAAGGTGTCTCGTAGGAAACTAACTGTAAAGTGTCAAATGATGGATTTTACTGTGAAGCGGCTGCAGGCACACGATGAACATGGAGGCATTGAGTTTGAGGCTAACCTGTTGCATGAGAAAAGCTTATTTATAAATCTTTCAGTGCTGTCTTGTCATCAGAATAGAGAGAAACAGATCGGAAAACAGCGTTAAGAGGAATTGTAATTATAGAAATGTAAGTGTCAAGTGAAACTAAAAACAGTTGCATGGGAACATCGAGAGCATTCTGCAGGAGTGGCAATATCAGTGTCTTCAAACCAACCTTCACGTACCCTTAATACCCAAACAACCTGCTGCTTATTATTCACTGCTTTAGCACATTGTGCAGCTGTGAGTAACGGGCACGCACTGACAGTTTTATGCTTAAGGCTGTTTTTTTTTTTGTTTTTTTTTGGTGCATGAACTGGGGCCTGTATCACAAAGCAAGTTCGGCTCGGTCTTGCTTTCTTTGCCTTATCTTGCTTCATTGAGTCATCGGTGGTCCTGGATAATTGTTATCGCACAGACGGCGAATTAACTGGATCAGTTGACTTGGGGTTTTCCTGTCCAGCCATGAGCCTGTTCATGTAAAATAGAGTTCCTGCTTGGAAGCCAGTTACATGCGACGTGAATAAAGTACTTGATATTACATGAAATTAAATTGTGATACCTGCAGTAAGCAGCAAGAAGTGATACTCAGCGAGTGTCTTCATTACCTACCTTTTTATTGGTAGAGTCTAATGCAATCAAATACAGGTGTACTGCCATAAAATCTGCCTGTAATGTTCAACGATCAGTCAATTAATCGATTAGTTGATTAACAGAAAATTAATTTAATTCGTTTTAGTCAGTTTTTAAATAAACATGACAAACATTTTCTTGTTCTACCTTCCTAAATGTTAAGATCATATGTTTTTCATTTCATTTCTTTTTTTTTTGCTCTTTTTTGAAATGGTTAGTTTTGAAATTCTATGTTTTAGCATTGGTTAGTTAGTGTTGTACTGGACGGCATTATATTTAGGGGTGTTTCTAATGCAGGGTAATGTAGGATTATGACTCGAGTTCTCCAGTGGTCTGATTGGTCAGTTGACGGGTTCTGAGACATCAGCCAGCTTTACGATCGTAGGAAGTTTGAGTAAAGCCCAGAGATAGCTGCTCATCCCGCTGATCTTGCCTTATGATAGAGGCCCCCTGAACACTGAAAGTGATTTTCCACACTTGACTCGATCCCTCCTGACACAAAGAGTATTTTAAGAGACAGGACCAGGAAGCAAATTAATCTTTAGTCTTTTGATGAACTTTTGTCCAAAATAGAAAACTTCTTCTGTGTTTAAGAGAGCTGTAATTACTGATGGTATCCTTCTCCCAACTTCCTTGTGGCTCTCTTACTTTCATTCTCACCCCTATTTTTCACAAACTTGTTTTATCTTGTCCTCTTCCATCTTTGCCGTTCCTTTCATCCTCCTTTTAACTTCATCACTTTCTCTCTCCACTACTCTTTTCTCCCCTCCAGACCTTCCACACTCCCAGCCTTGGCGATGAGGAGTTTGAGATCCCTCCCATCTCTTTGGACCCAGACTCGACCCTCACAGTGTCAGATGTGGTGTCCCATTTCGGGGAACTGTCGGACACTGGTCCCTCCGACAGCGTGGTGGTACCCGGGAGCGCCGTGGTCGAAGGGGACGACCCCTCTTTTGCCTCCACTTTTGTGAACGCCCCCTCACAGGGACTGGAGCACCTCAGTCTGGGGGTCATGAACCAGTCAGGAGGAAGTACTCTGCTGGGGTCGTCACTGGGAATGGTGAGTGAGTACGGGACGTTTTAACGGTCTGAAATTATCTCACCGTTAAACACCAATTTAATTAACTCACACGCTCTGCTCTTACCCCCCCCCCCCCCCCCCCCCCCCCAAAAGGATCTCGGCCATCCCATCGGTTCCCAGTTCAGCAGCTCGTCTCCAGTAACAATCGATGTCCCGCTGGGCGATATGAGCCAGGGCTTGCTGGGGTCCAACCAGCTGACCACTATCGACCAGTCAGAGCTCAGTGCTCAGCTAGGGCTCGGATTGGGGGGTGGCAACATATTACAACGGCCCCAGTCACCTGAACACCCTCTGTCGGCCACGGCGTCGCCCACCAGCTCGCTCCAGGACGATGACATGGATGATTTTAGAAGGGTGAGTCTTACAGGAACACACTATTATTTGCTAGAGTTTGAACTATACAGGTTTACTTCACATGGAAGTTGGGGTGTTTCTCTTCTCTGTGGTTTGAAGTGGGCGGGGTTCTGTCAGGTATTTCCACACACCAGAAAATAACAATGTGACTCATATTCTGCTTAATAGTTGTTTGGTTCATAGCTGCTGTTGCCTGGAGGACGCTGTTATCAACAACTCTGATCAAACTGCACCCACACAGTCCTAATGACGCGGATTGGTTGATGTACAATAGATGGAAGTTTTCCAATGTTAAGCTAGAGTGTTTGTTATAACTTTACATCGGATATTTATTTTTTTTTTTATAATTTTGATTTGAAAAAGATCTCAGGGTTGAAGCCGTTTTCAGTTGTTTTAAATCTGCAATAATTAGTTTGGCCACCTCGGGGCAGTGGAAACAAGCTGTGAACACAACATTGACACATCATCACCATTAGTTCCTTATTTACACATCCAGCAGTTATGGAAGTCTCTTTTGTCATGGTAGTCTTTTTTTGTGCTTTAACTCTTTGAATTCCAGGTTTGTTTTGGTTGACTTTCTCTGCATGCATGTCCTTATTCCACAGCCATGGTCTTTTTTTCATCAGCACAATCTCAGCTATAAGTCTGACCTCTCATTTTGTCAATTTAAGAAAGCATAAAGCTTCCAGGAACCCAAAATACTAGATAAATAAGAGTATAAAAATGGACAAATCTGAAGTGATAATCAATCTAAATGTTATTGTGGAACAATTTAAGGTTAATAAAATATTTCACTATATACAGCGTTTCCTGGAAGTTATTCTAATGTCCATTGTTCTCTTCCCTCATATTCAGAGTGTCCTGGTTGAATCTCCGGTCTCTCTGGCCGTCTCTCCCGGAGTCATCTCCCTCGATCCCTCTCTGTCTGAGTCCCCGCTCTCTGCCCCGACCTCCAGCGTCTCTCCAGCTGTTGGACGGAAAGGAGGAGCAGGAGGAGGGAAGAAGGGGAAGAAGAAGAAAGACCCCAACGAGCCTCAGAAACCTGTGTCGGCCTACGCGTTGTTCTTCAGGGACACACAGGCAGCTATTAAGGGACAAAATCCCAACGCTACGTTTGGAGAAGTTTCTAAGATAGTGGCCTCCATGTGGGACAGTCTGGGGGAAGAGCAGAAACAGGTATTTAAACTAAATGTATTTAAAATGTGCTTATAGTTCAATCATTTATCCATCAGTTCATCTTTTTAGTCGGTGAACTGATCATGTGCTTAATGTGACCCAGGTCGACTGAGTTCATCTTGAAGTGAAGTAAACATATCCTCGCTCATTAGTCAGCTGTATGAAACCAGACACGGGCTCCATAACGTGTGGTGAGATTTAAATATAATACTAATGTCAGTGATTCATTTTCCCTTTTTTTTTTTTTTTTTTTTTTTTTTTTTTAAAGGTTTACAAGAGGAAAAATGAAGCGGCAAAGAAGGATTACTTGAAGGCACTGGCAGAGTACAGAGCCAGCCAGATTTCTCAGGTGAGTGTTTTCTGATTCTGAATATCAACCACACACTGGTGAGTTGCACTCTTGCTGACAAACGGTAAGAATTGCCGTAGTCTAGGTTATGCCATAATATCATTTTAAGTTTCTATTTCTGTCTAGCTACAAGATTCTCCTTCAGCTTAAAATTGCCCAGTAATGGGTTCAGAACCTGAAAAAATAAGCAAAAAAGTTTATGAGCTGCAAACCTATGTAAATATATTCTGCATTATTCCAAATCGTCATAAATCCAGCAATGCCAGTCCAGTGAGGATCCGGATTTATATATATATATATATATACATATATATCATTAATATAACCAAACCCCTTCATCTTAGTTTTAAATACTAACCACTATCCACACTGTAAAATTGTATATGTTACAGCTGAGGTGGGTGAGACGTAGAAATCCGTAAAACTTGCCTCTATCAGTGGTTGAAAAAATACTCAGACACCACAGTGTAGAAACACATTGTAAAAGTAAAAGTACACAAGTATTAGCATAAAAATATACTGTTGTGTCTCAGCTGCTATGTGAGTTAAGGATAGGACTGTTTTTAGGAGGACACCCTAAGTGAAAGGTCAGGTGCCAGAAACGGGTGAGCACCCCTTCCTTTCCTTTCTTTCAGACATTCCTAAAGCTGACATCTGTTTTAAATAAAAGGATTTATGGTATCTTTTATCTTCATGTAGAATGACCATGTTTACGCATAAATGTTGGCTCTGTGCCTCTATAGGTTATTAGGAATTAGCTATGTCATGAATATGTATCTAGAGGTTACCCAGCCCATAAATTGTAGGGGTTTTGGGGAAAAACGGGAGGAGATTGTGGTGTCTTAGCTGATTTGTGAGTCAAGGATAGGAGTGTTTTAGGAGGAGACTCTAGGGGTAAAGGTAGGCTCCGGAGGAGGGTGAGCACCCCCTCCGCTCTGGTCTCCAAAACATTCCTAGAAGCTGACTTTTGTTTATCCTAACAAGATTTATGGTATCTTCTAACTGCATATAGAATGACCATGTTTGGACATAAATGTTGGCTCTGTGTCTCTATAGGTTATTAGGATTTAGCTATGTCATGAATATGTATGTAGAGGTAGACGTTATTCAGCCTATAAATTGTAGGGTTTTGGGGAAAAACGAGAGAAGATCCTTTTTGGCTTTGGGTCCTCTCACAGGCAGTTTTGATGCTTGTCAAATGATGCTGTGCTTTCTTGTAATAAACCTTTTTATATACAACTGAGCCGGTGTCTGCGGAGATTCCTTCATCATCTTCACATCATCGCTATGGAAGAAACTACAATACTTAAAGTACCAAAAGTACTACTGCTGGGTATTTTAATCCATTAATAATCTGAATCTGGAAAGTAAGCAGTAACTATAATCTTCAAATAAATGTAGTGGACTAAAAAGTGCAACATCTGCCTCTGAAATGTAGCAGAGTAGAAGTTTAACGTAATATAAAATAGAAATACTCAAGTAACGTACAAGTATCTCAAGCTTTTTAGTTTGATCCCACTCCTGCTCTAACCTTCATTAAGGGTTTAATTATATTCCATATCGTATCAGATGTTCTAACATGTTCTCTTCCTGTGTGTGTTCATTTAACCTCTCCTCTTCAGGCTCCCATTGAAGTCATGGACACTTCCCCGTCGCCTCCACCTCCAGCCCCAGCTCCTGCGGTCACAGCCACGCCTGCCCCTTCCACCCAGGCCACTCGCGCCACCAGGTCCCAGCATTACAATCCAGAGGAGAACACCATCACCAACATCTGTACCTCCAACATCATCCTGGACCTGCCCCAGGTCACCACGCGCTCCCGCACCGGCGCCATCAAACCCCAACCTCCACCTGCCACCACCGCCCCGAACCCCCCCACCGTCACAAAGATCATCATCAAACAGACGCAGCTGCCCTCAGGCGGTGTATCAGTCACGGCGACGCCGGCCTCTTCGTCGCGGCAGCCGCCTCCGCTGCAGCAGATGCAGAGCACCCCTCCGCCACCTCGGCTGCAGCAGATGGTACACGCCCAGGCTCCTCCGCCTCTGCAGGCCAAACCACGAGGCGGAGGCGCAGCTGCCGCCACGGCTCCTCCTCCACTGCAGATTAAGGTTGTCCCGTCATCGCGCCAGTCGGATTCAAGTACGCCGATAATTGTGACGTCATCCGGTGAGACGCCTACGTCAGGGTCCTCTTCCTCTGCTCTGACGGTGGAGGTGGGACAGTCGGCTGCTGTGGTGACGGGCGGAGAGGAAGTGGCGGAGGCAGAAGAAGGGGTAAACTCAGCAAACTACACAAAGTGATAAGCACACGGTTGGAGAACAACCTTAAGACTAAATGTCTGTCTTGTTTTGTCTCTCAGATGGAGGTGGAGGTGACTGTCGCCCCCGGCCCGAGCGTGACCCCCGCCTCCAGTCCAAACATTTGTGTGCGTGCCGGCTGCACCAACCCCGCCGTGGAGAGCAAAGACTGGGACAAGGAGTACTGTAGCAACGAGTGTGTCGCCACGCACTGCAGGTATGTATACTGTTTACTTCACGGCTCAGAGCAACAGTCTGATGAAGTGTGACATTTCAAAGGAGCAGCTCAACACTTTGGGAAATCCCCTTATTTGCTTTCTTACAGAGAGTTAGATGAAAAGATTGATACCACTCTCATAGCTGTGCGCGATGAAGCTACAGCCAACAGTTGGTTAGCTTAGCTTAGCTTAGCATAAAGTCTGGAACCTGCAAGACTGGCTTCATTTTCAGCAAGAAAAGAATGTTGTACACAGAGACGGAGCTAATGAGTGTGTTTACATGGGCACCAGCGTCTCGAATCTGCTCGGCTCAAGTATCTTGGTTGTGTCAAGGATTTAATCTTCAGGTATCGCAAAACCAGGGGGAGGACTTGTCCAGGTTTCTGAAACCAGGAAGTACTCTGTGGCATGTAAACGCCTGGTACAGGTGTCTGACCACTCTCTGCCATGTGTGCAGGTGCATTATCAACTCTGGTTATGTAGTAGTCGTTCACTAAAAAATCTGGTGTCTGGCTGTTTGGACTGGATCAGGACGTTACCTGTGTCAAATTGTTGTCATCCTCAGCCACTTAGCCAGCACAGTAATGAGTACACCAGCGTTTAAACCCCCTTCCTACTCTGAAGATTGTATATACAAGTAGAAGAATAATCGGTTTCTGTTGAATATGATCAAAACAACAATCAAAAATGATGTTACTTATGTGCTCGTAAATGTGCTCAAGTGTCAACACACAGGTAAGGACGTGCATTTAAATTTTGAGTCCAGATATTGAGCCCTGCGTAACAATGTCCTTTACCCCATCCTCCACAGAGACGTGTTCATGGCCTGGTGTGCGATCCGAGGGCAGAACTCCACCACCGTCACATAGGGAAGGGACACGTCTGACAGGAGGAGTGCTACACGGAGAGAAAAGGACAAAGATAACACATGAAATGCAAATGAAGAGAGGAAGGAATGAATGAATGAATGGATGGATGGATAATAGCCAGACTGGGCTCAGGTATCGGCACATACTGGTTTGTTTCATGTCTTGTCAGATGGGCAGACAGTCAAAAGGAGAGTATTTAAAAGCGCTATAATGTACTTTCCCGTGGCTCTCTCATCCTGCACAGGGAAAAAAAATTATTTGCAAATACTGCAGTGAGAATGACAGCTCATAACAACATGAATGGATTAATAATAATTATAATAACACGGAAGAAATCAGAGGAAGAAACTAAAGACTTGGTTCAGCTGCTCCAGACTTTCCTGTTGATCATTGTGAATATAAAAAATGGACTTGATAAAAAAAAAAAAATAGAACATTTTATATGTACTTATGGTGTTTTTAATTATTTTGGAAAGAAAGAAAAAAAAAAAGTGCAGGAAGGAAATCATGATCTTGCAGATGTATTCATTTCAACAAAACTCCACTTCAAACGTGTATGCGCTTCCCTTTACTGTTACACTGAGGATTGATCAATGTGAATGAAATCAGAGAGGTGATTTTTTTTTTTTTTTTTTTTTTTTTTTTTTTTTTTTTTTTTTTTTTTTTTTTTTTTTTTTTTTTTTTTTTTTTTAATTCTTCTTCTTTCTTTTTTTTTTTTTCGAGTTCATCAGTGCTGTGTGGGTGCTTCGGCGTAGACAGGCCAGTGGCTACTTTAGAGATTTAGATGACCAACAAGTGGGCAAAGCACAAGCAGTCTTAAAGCTAAATTGGAGTCGTACAAAAGGTTGAAATGTTTAAGAAGCCATTTTGAGATGAGGTGGAAATGAACCTGCCAATAACCTAATGCTGTTTGTCACCTTTAAAAGCCACTGTTTGGGGGGGGGGGTAGAAACCTACTATAACTCAAAGGATTTTACTTAAAACTTTGAAAACAGGTGCTAAGATTCAGGAAAAAAAAATAGCTCTAAGGTTTTCTGTTCTCTTCTCCTGCTGAAATACCTGGTGACATAAGAGCTTTTTAGAAATGTGGTGCGTATTTTGTTTTACGAGGAACATTTGTGGTGAAAATTTGTTTGAGGAAAGGAAAAAAAAAACACAATATTGGAATGAAATAAACACACCAGCTCTGACAACACTATTTACTGTAAGGGGAAAGGGAATACAGTATAAAAAGCTTTAATTTTTAACGTGACAGTGTTTCATTTAAGGAATTGCTTTCAGGTCTGTTAAATAATCAAAGAAGGGAGAGTTACTTTAAAAAAAAAAAAAAAAAAAACTGTTCCCAATCAGGTGAAATGATGCAGTGATCGGTCTGGTTTATTGTAGATATCCTGGAAATGTTTTTAACGGTGAAATAAAATATTTTATGTTTTAATATACATTTGGTGATCCACAGTTTGGCCTCACAGACACCTGAGGTGGCGTTTGTTTAATCTTGCAGGTGATACCTTGATTTCTTTTTCTTTTTTTTTCTTTTTTTTTCCAGAACATTTTTTTAAATAAATTTTTCTTTGAATTTGTTTAGAAGCCGAAATGGAATAAGCCAGCTGTTTTGCCATTGAATATATATTTTTTTTATTCTTTAATTACATAAACAAATGGGTACAAATTACACAATGTGACATGCATAAGAAATTTGAACATGGTTGGGGTGGAGGTTTACATAAAGAACAAAAATTTAAGTCTTTACAAACTTTTGTATTAACAAAAACACATTGAGTGAATTTACTGTTTGGCTTCTTTTGTGAAACCAATAAGACTTTTTACCTGTAAATTTACAAGTGATGGAAAGTACCTAAGTGCCTTTACTTAAGTACAATTTGAGTACTTTCACATTACTTTAGCATTTCCATTTTCTTTACTACTACATTCCAGAGAGAAATATTTTACCTCATACTTCACTGCATTTATCTGATATCTCAGGTTACTTTTGTAGATTATTACTTCTACACACATTGCACAAATCTTCATTCTATCAAGTGATTTGTGTCTGTTATTGAGTCCTGAAAGTCTTATTTTCTTAGAACAGGTAAAAAAAACAAACTGATATTGGATGGGATAATGCCACACTGTTTTCAATCATTGTAATAGTTTTGAAATTCATAGAGCAAGGTCACATTCTTTCTTGATTGTGAAGCAGCGATCCCTTATTCTGTCTCTGACTATTCTCACACTAATTTCCAAAATGTTGCAGAATCAAACTGATCCAGTTGAAATTGTTGAACTACACTGGCAGATTTATTTTCACTTATTTCAAGGAATAAACACAATATCATAAAATCGGCTCTACCTTGATGGGCCAGCATTAAAATGCTGCTTAAAATGGAAGTTTCACACAGGTGATGCATGGATGAATTATAAAATAGTATAAGATTATATTTTCTTGATTCTAAAGCAGTGCTCACTTATTTCCTTGTATTAATCTTACTTTGAAGGGTTAGAGTTAGGGGTCACACTCATTTCTAAATTGTTCTAAAATGTTCTTGAATTTCTGTTGGAAACAAGCTGAAATAACCGAGCTAGACTGGCAGTTTTTATTTTGGGGAATAAACACGATATGATGTTCACAGTTAAGAAATCAGCTCCACCTTCATCAGCTAATGTTAAAATGCTGCAAAATTCAATATTAATTCATGTGTTACAACACTGAATACAAATAGTTTTGATATTTATATATATATATTATATTTTTTTTGTTTGTTTTTTTTTTGTTGTTTTTTTTCCTGATAATACTTAGGTACTTTTACCCAAGTAAAACTTAAAATGCAGGACTTTTACATGTAATGTAGTATTTTCACACTGGTATTCTTAAGTAAAGGATCTGAATACTTTCTCCACTACTGTATATATACATATATATATAATATATATAATGTTCACATATATATATAATGTTCAACAATGTGCTTGTTGATCAAAAACGTTTGTGATCAAAAAAGTGTCACAAACAGGCAGAAAAATTAGTTTCATGCAGGTGGTACCTTCAATGCAGTTTTTATCGCGAGATTGACGTCAATAGGAGTGTTTGATGACGATGGCGGGAAAACCCACCATGGCGGGAAAAAGCAGCGTGGACAACACAAGACAGGAGGCGCTGTTGCTACAAATTACATTAAAATGCGCCATAAACCATTAAATACAATTACAAAGTAATAAATAAGAGGTAAAGGAATTCACCATAAAGTGTTTAGACATCTGTTTTTATTTTTTGTCGTAAAACGTTTTAGATAGACTCGAGCACCATGGTTGAGTTAGGTCATAATGGGTTTGAATAACGTTTGTTTATTATAAAAGCTGATATGTGAGGAGCCGGAGGGGGAGGGAGAGGAAAAAGAGGCACAGGAGGAAGGAGAGGAGGGGGGGTCCGAGGTCTTAATTATACCAGATTGGTGTGTGCGTGGTCGTGAGTGGCGAAGAAAAGGGAGAAATTATATTGCCTTTTAATAATTTCGTGTATTTTAACCGGGTGGGTGGTTATTTAGGTTAGTGCGCGGTTTGTTTTACATGGCTCCTCAGTGGAAGAGGCCTCTGTAGTGAAATTACAAGAGCAGCGGCAGCAGCAGCAGCATCTCGCAGTGGTGTCTCGGCAGGCGTGGAAAGAAAGTGCGTTGTTGTTAGTTGACACGGATCATCATCATCATCATCATCATCATCATCATCCTCCGGCCTGCTGAGAAGCGAAGCCGGGAGCTGGAGTTTGCAACAGAGGACTGACCATGGCGGTAAACCTGGACAAGGAAGCTTACTACCGCCGGATCAAGAGATTATACAGCAATTGGAAGGTAAAACCGGGCGATTTGTGGGAGTCAATGTGTCTTCTGTGTTTAATTTGAACGCGGAGAAAGTAGCTCTGTTGGAAGATGCAAGCCTCTGAGTTAGCCGCGTTTTTCAGCCGGGCGAGTGGACTCTGTTGTCGGCGTGAGCGGTAAGGTCTCCCTGCCCGCATCCAGCACCGACAACCGAGGGGTGGAGGGGGGGCACAGGCCACGGTCTCCACTATGTGACCAGCTTTATTTGCACTGAAATTATTTAGAACTGGAAGATGTTACAGTGTCTTGTATCAGACTCTTGTATCAGCCACCTCATGTTAGCACACCAATTATCCCATTCACCACGTTAGCTAGCCTGCTAGCTCCTAAGTTTACCACCGAGCTAACTAGCTAGCCAAGCAGTTCAATTTGTAGTGGACCTGCGCTGGCTAAATTGATGACTAAACCCCCGTTAAAGGGCTCGCAAAACATAAATTACAACGTAGTTATGCTTGACATTTGGCTAACTACCAAGCTGTTTAACCTTACTGTCAGTTTACACTTGTAACGGTCGCTACATGCTAATGTTAGCTGGCTAATTAGCATCAGAATAAAGTGACATGTGCAGGGTGCCTGCAGCTTCTGGAAATTACTTTATGTTAAGTCTTACATGTGTTAAATCACTTCAGGTAAACTTGTGGTTATTTTTTAAGTGCTTAAACTCGTTTTAAGAAGTTGTAACATGATGTTTGCAGTTGAAATTGCAGCTCATTTACGAAGATGAATGGCTCTGATGTTCATATGCACGTTAAGAGCGTTTTATGTGCATTATTACAGCGTTATTTAAAGACTTTAGATAAGCTTTGTGAGACTTGTAGCCCCCTTTATGTGAGGCTAAATGATACAGCATCAGGTGCTGATAAAGTGTCACACATCAACTTTTCAGTGAAGCTGTTTCCACACATACAAACACACTCACCACTCTTATTAACTTCACAATAGAAACTAGCACTTTGTCTTCTAGATTTCACAAAATGAATAAATCTCAAATAAATACTGTGGATGTTGTAGGTGGTGGATGTACCTCAGTTTGGTCTTGTGATTTCTTCTTTCATGCACAACATTAACTCACATGTGCTACTCTTTTATGTGACTTTTTTTCCAGAAAGGAGAGGATGAGTTTGGAAAAGTCGACGCCATCGTGGTGTCTGTCGGGGTGGACGAGGAGATTGTGTACGCCAAATCCACAGCCATACAGGTAAGGGCATATCCCAGCCAAAGTAGCATGATAAAATCACAGAGTACCAAGCACAGGCCTCATCACTCAGGTGCTGCTTGATATGATCTGGATATAGGCAGTTTCCCACTGTCACTTCATGTTCTGTGCAGATTAAATTTACTGGAATCTCTTGTGAAGACATTATTTCTAAATTATAATATTTTTTTAAATGATATGCATATATTTGCTTATGCTGTAAAGACAGGCTGCTTTCTTTGTTGTGTCGTTATCTTCACCATAAGACCATAAATTAGTGTTGACCTGCACTGTAGCTAAAGCTAAATGCATGTTCTTGAATTTATCACACTACATCTACTGTTTCTCAGCTCAGATAATAAATT